ATTAGCTTACGTAATAATATATGCTAAAATTTTGTATTTATGCTTTTTAATTTTTCAATATTTATTTTTAAGTTTAAATTGGCAGCACTTAAAATAAAATTTAAACATTTTTTTATTAAACCGGTTTAAGTTTTTATCAAGTCAGAATTCAGGATTTGTTGCTGTTGGAAGGTTTTCAATGACAACTTTGCTACATCCATTTCCGTGTCGAAAATATCCTCATTGACTTGATTTTGCAAAAAAATTTATTTAATAAGTTTTAAATAGAGAAATTAATAAATAGTTTTAACATTTTTTTTAAAAAACTTATAAAAGTTTCAAAAGTTAAATTATAACGACAAGCAAATTAAAACCTGGAATGATTGTTTTTCGGTTCTTGAGGATGTGAAAGATGCAGAAACAATTGATGAACACGTCGAAAATATATTTGAATTACAGCTTGTTGGTGAAAAGGTTGAAATACTAAAAAAAGAAAAAGAAACCCTTTTGAATGAATTGGAATTTTGTAAGTTAATGATATGAAATTTTTAATCACGTTCAGGAAAACAGTGCTGAAAGAGTTTTCGGATCTTGATGAAATTTAATTTAGTTGTATGTATATATTAAAGAAACAAATTCAAATAATTTTAAATAATGGACTACTGGTCGGCAAAGGAATAAATCATCATTTTATTTCCTTGTGGCGTTTTTTAACATTCCGATTGATAAATAATTTTTATTCAAATAAATAAACTGTACGATAAATTTTACAATTTCTTGTTATTAATGTCTTCGATAATATCTCCTGATATGTGGGTTCTAGATAAAACCCCTAAAATGGAGCTTTATCAAAACTTTTGAATATTCAAAGTTGTCACGTGTTGTCAAATGAAAAAACTGGTAGTGCTAAAACTAGTAAAAAACAACAAAACATTCAAATTTTGTGCCAAAATTAAATTTAGGAACTTTATTTAAAACTAATCCTGGTCAATCAATTAAAAAATTTGTATTGCTTGGTTCAACGGCCAACAACAACATTCAACATTTGAAAATTTCGAAAATTTTGTCTTGAGATTTTTTTCAAACGTGCAACAAATGTTTTAAATGTATAAAATTTTGAAAAAAGGTTTACAAAAGTAAAAGTGCTTATTTTTAAATTTTATATAAGCTGTATTAAAAAATATATATAAGGTATTCAAAAACGAACGTAAAAAAATGATTTAGTCCTATACAAGTTTTGGAATGTATCAATATCCAGCAGAAACAATCAAACAATTATTTCATACACGAAAGTTAAAATATTGACACGAAGGTTCGATGAAAAACCTATGTTCAAAAATAAAAAGTGAGAAAGAATGGGACGTGAAAAAGAAGACAGCAAAGGAGCAACAACAACTAAAAGACTGACAACCAGCAGAAATGTTACGCACCGAATCAATAAGCTTGAAACGCAATAATAATAAAATAATAAGAGGCATTTGATCTATTGAAGATGGCATTAGTGAAAGTATAATTAATTATACAATGAGGAAAATAGAAATTTTTAAAAATAGAAGTTGAATAATTAAGCTTCATTTTTGATTTATTTGGATATTTAGTGTTTGTTTAATGTTTGTGTGTTGATTTAGTTTGCGTGAGAAGACAGCAGATAAGAAGGATATTAAAGTGTACTTTCAGTTTTTGATTTTTTGAAAAGTAGTTAGATACCTAACACGAAATTTAGACAGGATGATCATGACTATATAGGTACTTAGAGTAACTAATTCACTTAATACTTCATTTCAGATGTCTACTCTTTGAATATTTATTTTTTAACTTTTCTTAACTTTTGTAAAAATGTTCTTTTCCTATTTATCTACATTACCATTTAACAGATTCATGGCCATGGAGCGTTTTATCAAAAAGGACATAAAAGTTCTAAGAGGCTATGAAAACTATATAAAAGAGTTTTAAAAAAATTATACTCTTGGCTTTACTTAACTTTCAAATCGGAAAATTCATGTTTCGACTATAAGTTGTTCCTTATAATGAAAATCGTTTGAAAAATTCTAACTAAAAATATATATATATGTATTTTTTGATAGCAGCTTAATTAAACTACTTTTTAGTTTCTTCAGATTTGTGAAGGCTAGCTTGGCTGGGTGCCATACTATAAGGTCTTCATCTTTATACTACCAAGTTAACTAACGTCAATGCACACTTTATTCTTTATTTTTATTGTATATATATAAATAAACACAGTTCTATATATATATATATATATATATATATATATATATATTATGTACTTGATACAACGTTCCATAGCTATGAACATGGATATATATATATATATATATATATATATATATATATATATATATATATATATATATATATATATATATATATTATTACGGAAATTTATATACAGCGCTTTTTTATTGTTGAATCTCAAAAGCGCTACTAAATCATAGACAAATAAGACGGACATTCATTGTGCAAATAAATAAGTTTTAAGTTGACTTCGAAATTGTAAATATGATAGGTTAGGGTCACGTAAGTATGGAGGTAAACCATTCCAAACAATCGGGCCAAGAACCGCAAAGTTGCGGGAACCCGTCACCAACTTTGTGGTCGGGATAAAAAATAAATTGCGCTCGGTTGATCGGAAGGAATATTGTGAAAAATGAGATTTGTATGATTCCAATCTATCGATGAGGTAGGGAGGTGCTGTATTATTGACACATTTAAACATCAAAACTGCCAACTTGAAGGAAACACGTTTTTCAACCCTCAACCAGTGCAACCTATTCAAAATAGGCGTAGCATGATCGAACCACGAACCACCCAAAACCAGCTTGGCCGCACGATTCTGTATTGACTGAAGCTTTGAAAAAGACCTTTTGGTGACATCATAAAAAAGGCCATTGCAGTAGTCTAGTCTAGAAAAGACGAAAGAGGAAACCAAGCTTTGAAGAACAGACGTGTTTAGTGATTTTTTGACATTGCGTAATAAACGGAGTTGGTTGGAGCAGACCCTCACTAAATTATTAATATGTAAATCCATCTTTAAGTTTGAGTCAATAATAACTCCAAGACTACGGACAGATGTGGAAAATTCAATGATGTCATTGCCGACACTGATCGATGAAATTTTGACCTTCGACAGCTGCTGCCAAGAACCAACCGGTAATATTTGTGTTTTAGATTGATTTAACTTTAACTGATTCATACTCGTCCAAGATCCAATTTCGATGAGACAGTCAGTCAGTTCATTCAGAGAAGCATCAATCGAATCAACAGGACAAGAAACCAATAACTGAATATCATCAGCAAAGGCGTGGGAGCTGAACTCATATTTTTGAATGATATCAAAAACATCAGCAGTGTACATAAGAAACAACAGAGGTCCCAACACAGATCCCTGGGGGACACCAAACGATAGTTTGTTTATGTCAGAGAGGGTGTTGTTGTAAGAAACCTGCTGGGTGAGGCCTAAAAGATAGGAAGCGAACCACGATAAGACTGAATCAGAGAGAAAAAAATTTGTGGAGAGTTTATACATGAGACGAGTATGATCGACACAATCAAATGCAGCACTCATATCAAGTAATGCTAAAAAAGAAACGCATTGACTGTCAACTGAAGAGAACAGTTGGGAGAAAATATCAATGAGTGCAGTTTCTGTGGAAAAATATTGACGATAGCCGGATTGATTCTTTGGCAACAAATTGTTTTTGTTTAAATACTGTAACAATTGTTTGATAACAACTCGTTCAATGACTTTAAAAATGAATGAAAGATTAGAGATAGGACGGTAATTTGATAAAACGTTGTCGTCCAAATTTGATTTTTTTAGAAGTGGGGTTACAATAGCATGTTTCAAAGGGTTGGGAAAACTGCTAGTTGATAAACATTGGTTGACAAAAAATGTCAAAAATGGCAAAAAAAGATCTATAAATTTTTTAAATATGTATGTTGGAATCAGATCAAGAAAACAAGAACTGCCAGGGGAGTCACAAACTATTTTAGCAATTCATCTAGCGTGCACATTTGAAAATTTGAAAGATTAACAATTGCTTCAGGTAAGACGACCCTAGAGACATACTCAAACTGGATTGGTTTGTTAGTATTTTCTATAGTCGTGCTACGAATATTATTGATTTTATTGACAAAAAATGTCATAAAATCATTGGGGGAGAAATCATTTGAATGGTTATTATTGTGATTTTTAGATAAAATTTTGTCGAGGATATTGTGAGGGAAGGTCAGAACTAGAGGCAATTAAATCTAATGTTCCACCATGAACGTGGATTGGTTCATTTATTCTATTTATCAATTGATATAAATCAAAAATTTCAAACAATTTCAATGCATTAGGGTCGTTCAAAAGTTCAACATGAATATTCACATCTCCAATAAAAATAACATAATTTGCTAAAAGCAATATTTGATCAAAAACAGATGATAATAACTCATCAAAAAACAATGGTGATGGAATAGAAGACCCAGGACGATAAAATTTCACAACTATAGCCTCAAACGTCTTAAATAAAGGCAGCGGAATTCTATAAAATTTAAAATAATTTTTAAAAAATACAATTATTCCACCATGGTTAGGGTCGGCCGGCCTCAAAAAATCTATGAACACAAAATCAGGTGGTAGAGTGAGTCTAAGTGATAAATTATCGGACGACCCATGCCAGGATTCCGTAACAACAAAAATATCAAAATTATTAGAAAATAAATCGCGAACAGTTTTGATCTTATTCATAATTGACCTAATGTTCAACAAACCTAATTGCAGTTTTAGTTCTGTGTCTTTTTTGGTAACTTCAGGATCATTACTACCACTTTTATCGTTGCCATTACAACCATCTCCGCCACCGCAAATACCACCATCATTACCACCACCGTTAACATTACCACCACAACCATCTCCACCACTGCAAATACCACAACCACAACTATCATAATCACCACAGCTGAACAAACTTCCACCACCAGCATCATCAGCAATACCTTCACCAGAAATCACTTCACCGATGCTCTCTGAGTTTGACGATCCGCCACCTTCCCACCGTTCCCCTCACCTTGAATAAAAAACCCGGGCACGAGATTTTTCTTGATTTGGCTTCATCAATTAGTTTTTTTAACTCGGCACGCTGATCAACTGTTAAATCATGACTGATCCATACTTTATCAAGATCTTCATGCATAGTTTTTAATTTAAAGGAATTTTTTAAGACTAAATCTTTAATTGCACAACTCCTCATTTCAATCAGCACCGGTCTAATTTTAGTTTCAGCTTTTGGACCCAGTCTAACAATTCTTTTAATATCCTGATCCTTGACTTCACTGGATAACTTTTTAATAATTCCTTTGACTCTATCTTTATCATCATCAGTTTCTTGCAAATTGAACATCATTATGTTATTCTCTCTTTCTTTCATGTCATTTGCATTGGTTAAAGTTTTTTGAACACTTTTTACCTCATCATTAACTAGTTCAATATTTTTCTTCACTTCGCATCGGACAGCATCAGCAAAACTTTTGTTCAAATCGTTTTTAAGGTTACACAGCTCGGTACTCAAATCTGTGCCACCGAATCTTTCCGCCCCATCAACATTTCTCTGAATTAAACTTTTGATAGCTTCAAGTTCGCTCCTCAACAAATTGTTCGATTTATCAATTTTGTCAATTTTAGTGTTGAGCGCATCATTGCTATCACGCACAGCTTTATTTAATTACTTTACATCAGGAAGTAGTTTCATGCATTCATCACAATACCACTTAATATTGGACACGGAACTGATAACCTTGAAAGCTGATTTACTTATTCCGACACAGTCTTGGTGAAAAGCAAGTTGACATTGAAAGCACTGAATTGCGTCTTTATCTTCCATATTTCTAGCACATTGACATCCTTTGATCGACATTATTATTTCAAAAAGAATGTTTGCAAGTCAACTTATAAAATTATATTTCAAATGTCTTTAGAAAGTTAGCAGTCCGCAAGAATAAACACACAAGAAAAAAAACAAAAAATAAAAAACAGCAAAACACTTCAACTTTCAAAACAGTGCAACTTCTATAAACTATCCTTTATTGTTTACAACTTTAACCTTATTACCGCGAATTCAAAATTTAAACCAAAAAATAGTGAAAAATAAAACAAAATTAAATTGCAAACAACCAACTGAGCAAAATTTATATCCTCTTATTCTTCTAAATTTATACTATAAAACGAAATCAAAATTAAGTCGAACACTCTATAATATCCTATGAAACTTTAGAAAAATACGGAGAAAATCGAAAACACTATATATATATATATTAAGACTTTTTATATGTATATATATTATTCTCTTGAAGCTGCTAGATATTTCTTTTAATATCACTGATTCTTTCGGGGTACCTCAGGTTTCTATCCTTGGCCTTCTTCTATTTATACTCTATACTTCTGAACTACCACGTATTATTAATAACTTTTCTTTTACTAGTCAGCTATATGCTGATGATACTTATATTTATTCTTCTTTTTCTCCGTCTAATCTCAATAGTGTTCTTCATAATCTATGTCTTTCTTCAATTATCGCTTGGTCTGACTCTATGTGTCTTAAACTTATTCCTTCTAAATTTGAATTAATTTGTTTTAATAAATCTAAAAACTCTATTACTAGTCCTCCTATTATCTTACCTGATACTAAAACTCTTGATGTTTCTCACAAGTTTCGTAGTCTAGGCTCTATCTTTGATTCTTGTATGACTCTTTCTTTTCAGAGATTAATAGTGATGCTAGAAGTTCTTACTTTCATCTACGTAGAATAAAAAACTTACCTTTTCTTGATGATTCTACTCTTCTTCTTCTTGTTACTTTGTTACAACAACACACACGTTTAGACGACATTTTCCCCGAGATCGGGGGTTGCCGTTTGGCTACCTATGATGAAGCCGAAATACCCCTCGACGCCATCCACATCTGTCACTCGCCTCAGTATCACGCCACCCCGCTTTCACCCTGTCCTTCTCCACCTGCTCTCTCCATCCCAATCGCGGACGACCCCTTCCTACCACTCCTTCAACCTCGAACTCCAACGCTTGCCTAATCCCGACCCTTTCATCCCTTTTCAACACATGTCCATACCACCGCAATCTCGATCTCCTTATCAATGTCACAATGCCCTCATTCAGTCCCATCATCGACATCAGCTCTGTACTACTCCTCCTATCCTTCACTTTAACCCCACACATCATCCTCACCATAGCTCTTTCAGCCCTCTGCAGTACACTTTCTTTCTCTCTCCTCAACACCCAAGTTTCACCACCATATACCATCGCTGCTCTCACACATGCTTTATATACCCTCCCTTTCATCTTCACTGACCATTTCCTTCCACACAATACCCCACCCAGTTCCCTAAATTTCATCCATCCCACACGAACTCTAGCCGTAACTGCGCTCAAACATCCTCCATCCGCGTTCAGCTTATCCCCTAAGTAAACGAAGCTTTCCACTCTTTCAATACCACCACTCAACCCCGTCCATGCGTCCGTCCTATTAATCACACCATGAACACATTTCTTACATTTGAACGTGCCTTCCACCTTTTTCAGTGCCCCCTCACACCACTACATCTCTTATACACCCATTTCTGACATCCTATACACAATACCGAGTTAGCCTTCACTCTCCTGTCACATACCCCACATGGGTCTATTTTACTTATCACTCGCTCCCCACCTTCCCCACTCACCATTACTTTCGTTTTACCAATATTAACTTTTAACCCTTTCTTTTCAATAACACTTTTCCATCTGTCTTCTTGTTACTTTTTATTTTTTATTTATTTATTTGATTTATTTGATTTGAAGGATGACCAAAAAAGATAAACTTGTGGATAGGCCACCCTTAACTAAAATTTCTAACTATAGATGTAACAGAAATGTCATGAAATACATACACATAAACTCACGCTCACACATACTTACAAACACGCACCATACTACAATTCATATCACAATACTGTTATACCGAACTGAAGATACAGAATCGATGAAATGAAATGATCTGGAAACCAAACATACGCTCACTTACACACTCAAATAAATAGACACATAAATAAATATGGCCACACACCATACACATATAGGGCGTAGCCACATGTCTCAGGGAACAGCCTAGTGAATGGACATCTTACACATAGATATGTGCCCCTCCACATACACCCCCGCTGTACCCTGGTTAACGCTCCTAGAATACAATATTTATATACATATATACACATATCTACACATACACATGCACACACTCACACACATAGACACACTCACACACACATAAACACGCACACTCACCCAAACAAACTCACGCACACTTACCCACACACACTCTCACGCAAACACTCCCGCTCACACACAAACACACACACACACACGCACTCACGCACCTATACCCACCCTCAGACACACACACACACACACACATACATATTTCGTCGAACTTGATCGAATCTCACAGATTGTTAACGACCCGGCAGACCCAACCAAGCCCAACATAATTCATATTCCTAAAACACGCTGCCCGAATACACAGATATATACATACCTATAAAAATTCATAATGATTTAAATATGAAGTATATTTACTACAATTACGTATTAAAAATATCATTTATGGAAACATATGAAAACCGTATACACATGATAAGTTGGCCAAATGATAAGAAATTCTTGTTCTAGTAAATAATAAATGTAAATAAATGTTGTTCAAGAAAAGGTGACTATGATACATACAAACACAAACACACCCAACACACACCTGACACACACACTCACCCACGCACACACACATACATACAAAATATGATTGCCTTTTTGATATCAAGTTAAAAAAAAAGTATTTGGCTCAATCAAAAATTTTTTGACTTTGTTTTTAAATAAATGTTTTTGACATATATTTTTAATTTCTGTGTTAATAATTTTATCCCAAACTTTTGGACCAGAAATTTTTAAGCTATTATTTATTATTTTCAATCTAGAATAACTGGGACAAAAAGTTGATGCATTCCTTAATACTTTAGTTTGGATCGAGCTTCTTAAGTTGAAGAAATGTTTAAAAAACAACGGGAGTTCACAGTGTACATATTTATACATAAAAAGAGCTAAGGTATACAAGTGGATATTTTTAACATTCATAATTTGTAAAATATTGTAATAATTAGAAATATGGCAGCGAGGATGAAGATTGAAAAAGAGACGAATGAAACGGTTTTGGCTAACGGAAATATGTTGCAAGTGTAAATTTGGACTGTTTCCCCACAGCAAATTACAATACGTTAGGTTTGGGTAAATAAGGGTATAATATAATTCTAATAATACACTTTTTGTTATTTTATTTTTAATTTTATATAATATACCTATTGTTTTATTTATTTTTTTGGAAATAAAATTAATGTGCGTGTCCCAGGATAAGTTATCGTTGATGAAGATACCTAAAAATTTTGTTGAGCTCGATCGATGTATGGGATTACCATTGATTTGTATATTTAAGTCTGTGATACAATTGGTTAGTATTCTTGGTCCAAATATCATATATGTGCACTTTGTATAGTTTATTATTAAATCATTAAAGGTAAACCAATTGGCGATGGATTGAATTTCAGTGTTGATAAAATTTAAATCTTTGTTAGGTTCTTTAGTATGAAAGTATATAGTCGTGTCATCAGCAAATAATAAAAATTTAGCTGATGTAGTTATGTGGCATAGATCATTTATAAATAAGGTAAAAAGTATTGGTCCTAATATGGAGCCTTGTGGGACTCCGCAGTTAATCTGGAGCCTTTCTGATTCATAGGTTTCGATTGAGACATATTGTTTTCTTTCTCCAAGGTAAGAGGAAAACCATTTATATGCAACTCCTCTTATACCGTATCAATAGAGTTTTCTTAACAGTTTTTCATGGTTTATTAGATCAAATGCCTTTGATAGATCTATAAAAATTCCTAGTGTGAAGATCTTTTCATTCAATTTTTCCATCACTCTCTGCGAAAATTCTACTATAGCAAGCTCCGTTGAGTGGTCTGCTCGAAATCCATACTGACTTTCATGAATAATATTTTTAAACTGTATAAAAGATTTTAATCTCTGGCACATCAATTGTTCTATAATTTTTGAAATAGGCGAGAGAAGAGAAACAGGGCGGTAGTTAGATATATCTAACCGATCTCCTTTTTTGTAAACTGGTATTACTTTAGCGGTCTTAAAGCATTGAGGAAAGTAGCCCTGTGAGAAAGAAAGTTTGCATATGTATGTTAAAGGCTTTATTATTTCGTTAATCATCTGTTTGATTAAGTAATTACTTAAGTTATCCTGAGAAATACTTGTTTTGTTTTTCATATTTTTAACTATATTTAAAATTTCTATTTCATCAACTGGTCTTAAAAAGATGGATTGACATATTGAATTTGCAATTTTAAATTTCTCATGATAATGTTTGGGTTTATTTTGATTATCCAATAAAGTTTTGGCAATGTTGATGTAGTAGTTGTTAAATTCATCACATATTTCTTTTTTATTTTCTATTAAATTATTATCAATTTTTATGCTACTTATGCTAAATGTATTCTTTTTTCTATTAAGTATATTGTTTATAATATTCCATTTTTTCTTTGCATCATTTTTGGCGTCTAGGAACTTTTTATTAAAATATTTATTTTCGTTATGTCGTTTAAATGTTGTAAATTTGTTTCTGAACAGTTTATATTTATTTAAATTTTCAGTTGTCGAATTAAGTAGATATTTCTTGTACAATTTATACTGTTTATTCGACATTTTTTAAATATCAATTGTTATCCATGATTTTTTGTTTCTAGGTTTATAAGTTTGGAAAGGAGCAAACAGTTCAAGTGAGTTATTAATTATGTTGTAGAAGGATAAGCAAGCATTATCGAGATTACGATCATTCATTAAAGGAGTCCAGTCAGCTGCTGCAAGATGGGTTTTAATTTGATTTACAGTTTTTTTACTTAAATTTCGCTTATTAAGAAGTTGATGAGAACGGTTTAGCAGATTTGGATTATTAGATATTGAGTATATAAGAAAGTGATCGGAGAAGTCTGAGATGATTACTCCACTATTAAAAGATTCAGACGAATTTGTGAATATATTGTCAATTAGTGACGCTGTAGAAGGAGTTACACGAGTAGGAGATTCTATTAGCGGAATATAACCATAAGAGGACAATAAATTTTCAAACATTATTATGTTTTGTGAGTTTACGTTTAGCAAGTCAGTGTTAAAGTCGCCAACAATATAAGATTGTTGAGTTGGCTTTAGCGCACCCAAAACCAGTTCAAGTTTATTTAAAAAATAATTAAAATTAATGTCTGGCGGACGATACAAGGCAATCACATTTGTTGACTTGTAGAAAAAATTTGATTTTATATTTATGCATAACATGTCTACATATTCATCATTAAGAACACTATCATCACAAACAGAGCAATCAAAACCACTTTTTACAAATATACCAACTCCACCACCCTGTCCAACATCTCTATTTTTATATATAAATTTATAATCAGGTAAGTTTATGCAATCAGCCGTATTTTCATTCAACCAAGTTTCACTTATCACAATAATATTAAAAAAGTTATAAAATTGATCAGATAATATGTTAAGTGCTGACATTTTATTAACTAAGCTACGCGCATTTATATGCAAAATCGATATATTGTTTTGAACTAAATGTAATTGAGGTTTGATTAAGTTATTGATAATAATTTCAGATGTAAAATACTTATAATCTTTAAAAACAGAGTTTAATGGATAGTTATCAGCTGTTGCCTCCATGATTGATGTTGATTGTTGTTGGCCGAAAGTTTCCATCTTTCTTCTTACTTGCTGACATGTTGTAATCCCACTCGCGCAAGAACGTGTGCATGGGCCATATGTCAGGATTAACCAGTTTCTCACGTTCATTCAAAGGTATTATAATTTTGAAAGCCGTCGATTCCGTAGTTTGATTTTTCTCTACCAGAGGATCATCCGGATTTTTCTTACGGAGTACAGGAAAGCATTGTAGAAAAGCTATGTTGTTTTGTTTCAGATGGTCCTCAATTATATTTTTGTTGCATGTACTGACATTTCTGATATAATAGGGAATTTTTTCCTCTATTATTTTCGACGCTTTCAATGGACAGCTGATGCCAGTACCGTAGGTTTTCATTTGTTTTGAAGTTGGTTTTGACGCAGGTTTTGGGGATGCCAGTTGTGGAGAGGTTGACGATTTTTTTCGTTTCTTACTTCTCACCACTTGAAAACCATCGTCGCCGATAATTTCATCACACGACTCACTTTGCGACGTGTAGCGTTTAGCGGTTCTGTCGGCCCAAGATTTTTTACTAGCGCAGTTGTCAACATTATCACCTGAAAGAAGGCTTGCGCTGTTTACACTTTCAATACGTTGCAAACGACTTTTACCGTTATTGCTTTGTTGTTCACATGTGTTACACGTTCGTGCACTATCGCTTCTATTATTCAATTGTTTAGCTAATTGCACAATCAATTGTTTATTTTTCTCTATTTTATCATTTAATTTTATTAAATTATCATTAATATTTTTGCTATTATCTCTCGCTAGTCTTAAAGGTATTCGGTATATATTATATATTGTAAATGTAGGTAACAGGTCCATCAAATTATTATCAAAACATAATTTAATAAGTTCCAAAAGTTCACTAACTTTATCATATTTGGTATTACCACGAGCCATTAACTTAATTTTATCTTTTTTTAAACCTTCTATTTCAGTTAATAAAATTTTTTTGCCATTAAGTATTTCATCATTAGTATAGAATTCTACAACTTCCAATTTAAAACCCTCGTCATTTAAATTTTCTTGATTATTTAACAAAAACCATAAAATTTCCGCAATACAAACACGCTTAGCCGCCATTGAAAAAATCTGGCTGTCCTCATGTTAGTCTTATCTAATATATTTATCTTATCCTAATATATCTTATCCTAATTTATCTTATCTAATATATTTATCTTATCTAATATATTTATCTTATCTTATCCACCAATACCACAACAAAAACAAAACTACGAGGCGGATTCGTTTTCACAGAATTCAAGGCCTGTTTTCACTGGGCCGTCAAGTCTGGTCGGCTTTTGCACAACCACGGGCCTGTTTTCACTGGGCCTGTCAGTCAGTCGGTCAGTCGGTCGGCTTTCGCACAACCCTGGCCTGTTTTCACAACCATCACAAAACAACAAGAGTCAGAACGACACTGGAAACAAATTGTGTGACTTTAGTACGCGTGCGAAACTATGCCAATGAGCATAGAGTCTCGTACCAAATCCACTTTTGAGAACTTAAGACGTTTCTGAAAGTAGCATGAGCATAGAATCACGCATTAAGTCACTTAGATACCAGAATAGGCACTGATTACTCGAAGCTGCCTAACTGGTGAACCCAAGGAAGACTCTTTTCAAGAACTTAAGAGGTTTTCGTGCCAATGAGCATAAAATATCGAATTAAGTCTCTTAGAGACCAGAATAGGCACCGATTACTCGAGGCTGCCTAACTAGTCAACCCAGTTCGGACTCCCCCTCACTAAAGATGAAAAAAACTCTATATCAAAGCAAAATTAGATTTTGTTTCGGGTGTTTTTAAACATAAAAATTTCCAAGGTATGTCAAAATAATCAAAAAAACTACTAATTAAATTTTAAAATAATTTGTAATAATTTATGACGTCATCTAAATTGCAAAACAAGGAAAATCGTCTAGTCACCTATCAAGTAAATTAACTTGCATCAGGCCACCTATCGAGTGAATTAATTTTGCGTTGAAGGACTTTGAAGTATTTTTAGTCAGTATTATTTCATAATTCTGACAATATATATATATATGTATTTATTTATTTATTTATTTTTTATTTTAAAAATTTTATTAACCACAAAAAAATGGCTTGGAGACCATACAAGCTTATTAAGCTTTATAGGCCCCCAAAAAGAAAAACATGAACAATTTAAAAAATTATCAAGCGAATATACGATAACATAAATTGTTCGTTCAAATGTTTGACACAAAAGCATAGCACACTGCACATAAATTAAACGTTCGTAAAACAAAATGAAAATGAAATGAAACTAAAATTTGATCCTTGTAGTGTTATCTAAAATGTGTAAGATCATACAACAAATATATAATTCAAACTAAGGCCAATAAATAAATACTAACATATATTCATGACATGCATTCAAAAAATAACAGCAATATAATTAAAATGTTCAATCATATGATTTTGCCTGAACAAACAACAAATTGAATTCAAACTAAGTCCAAGAATAAATATCAACATACATTCAAGACATAATTCAAAAACCAACAGCAATAAACTCAAAAATATTTAATCATATTATATCAGCATAATAAATTTGAAATAACAAAGATTATTTGGAAATGTATAATAATATTTTATTAGAAAAATCAGAAATGCTATTTAATAATTTGAACTCTGAAGGCAATCTATTCCAAAGTGAAACCCCGGAGGAGAAAACCGATAATTTATAATTTACTAATCTAGGGTAAGGTTGAACATAATCATTCATTTGTCTTAAAACACGTAACTTTTTATCAGGAGCTTTAAAATGAATGGACAAATTAGGAGGCAATAAATTTTTATATAATTTAAACATAAATTTTAACAGACCAAAATTATATATTTGTTTTATTGTTAATAGATTAGCTTCTTGGTAAAAATTTGAGACATGGTCCTACTTTTTCAAGAAAAAAAGACATCTAACAAAACTATTATACTCCAATCTCAAAGAATTAAGATGGGTCGTGCAATTATTATTATTATTATTAAATGAAAATTTATAAATCGCTTTTTAATAAAATCTCAAAAGCGCCTACAATAAGTGCAAGAAAAAATAAACAAGAAAAAAGAAAGAAAGTTGATTGTCACTCAGTTAAATGTCAAAACACACATATATTTAACACAAAATCAATAAATAAATAGATGACCAAAAAGAAGTAATACTAATTCAAATGACGATTTTTAGGATTTATCCACACAAGTTACTAGGTATGTACAAAAATTCAACACAATAATCAACAAACCTCACAACAAATTATTAAACGACACAAGAATTAAAACAACATAATGATAGTACTGACTAATAAAGAACATAAAAAATAAAAAAATAAAATTTTTTTTTCATAATCACATTTAATTACAAGAACCGAAATGCTGCTTAAAAAGTAGCAACTTTAATTGTTTACAAAATAGAGGAAATGATATTCCAGGTAGACGGAGTGAGGTTGGCAAATTATTCCACACCATCGGTCCAGCAACAGCAAAATTTCTTCTACCAATCCCCAAACGGGTTTGAGGAACGTCCAGCAAATTCCTATTATTGGATCTCAATCCTGAATAACCAGACGTTGAATCACGTTTAGTTAATCTACCGACCAAGTACGGAGGAGCACGCCCATTTAAAACTTTGAACATCAAAACAACAATCTTGTAGATAATTCTCTTTTCAATCGGAAGCTAGTGTAGATCCCGTAAAATCGGCGTCACATGATCAGATCTAAAACCTCCGTCAACTAACTTGGTCATGCGATTTTGAATTGACTGCAGTTTGGAAATTCCCAACATGGAGACACAGTAAAAAAGGCTGTTGCAATAGTCCAGCCTCGAGTGAATAAACGCGTGAGCCAAACTCTTTAGGGTAATCTCATTAAGTGAATTTTTTATAGCCCTCATCATGCGAAGTTGTCGATGACATTCACCAGTTAGGGTGGCACTCCATTGTCATATTACCATCGAAAACAACACCAAGATTACGAGCAACTTGACATAATTCAATCTTACTGTTGTTAATCTCAATTGAAGTGAAATTTAATTTGTTTATTTGCTGCCACGTACCAATTGGCAATAACTTGGTTTTGCATCGATTCAATTTGAGTTTGTGCTTGATCATCCAAGAATCAATCGCCTCCATGCACCGACCAAATCTTTCAACAAGAGTTTGAAATGAAGTAGCTGGACCACTGACAATGGTTTGTATGTCATCTGCAAACCCATGATGCTTGAACCTGAATGAATCAATGATGTCGAAAACGTCAGCAGTGTATAGCAAAAACAGCAGCGGTCCAAGTACTGAGCCTTGTGGTACACCATGCTTTACTTCCTGAACAGATGATAAAACATCTCTGCGTAATACCTGTTGTTTTCGCGCAGAGAGATATGATTCGAACCAAATAAGAACAACACCTGAGATTCCAAAACATTGACGTAGCTTTCCAAGTAAATTCTCGTGATTAACACAATCAAAGGCCGCACTAATATCAAGTAATGCCAAGATTGAGATATTTTGATCATCAATAGCAGCAAACAACTCAGATGAAACATCTATCAGTGCAGTCTCAGTTGAATGAAACTATTACCCTATAACATTACGCCATATGTTAAATACGGATAAATTAAACTGTAATATAATTTTTTAGTGACATCAAAACTAAGCTTGAACCTCAATTTACGAATGATACCAGTAATTTTAGAAATTTTACTTGATATGTGCATTATATGATTTAACCATGACAAATTGTCTGTAATTACAAAACCTAAAAATTTATTTGTATGCACTCTTTCAATACTGTTATTATCAATTTTAATAGAAATCCCTAAATTATTAGTAACAATCTTAGAACCAAAAATCATATAGTTTGTTTTTTTATAATTTATATTTAAGTCATTTGATTTAAACCAACTGAATATTTTTTCCATTTCAGTGTTAAATGTATTGATCACAGAATTATAGTCTTTCCCAGAACATAAAATAGTGGTATCATCAGCAAACAATATACTTTCAAGTGATTTACTGACAGTGGATAAATCATTTATAAAAATTGAAAATAACAAAGGCCCCAAAACTGAGCCTTGCGGGACACCAAATTTAATCAAAACATTCGATGACCGATGATTACCCAAAGCTACATATTGTTTACGATTTGATAGATAACTTTCAAACCATCTGTGTTGTACTCCACGAATACCAAGAGAATATAATTTTCTCAACAATAACGCATGATTGATAGAATCAAACGCTTTAGATAGATCTAAAAATAACCCAATAGTTATCGACTTATCTTCCATTTTACTAAGAATTCTCTCAACAAGATCTAACAACGCCAACTCAGTAGATCTACCTTTTCTAAATCCATATTGAGATTTATTGAAAAATTTGATATGTTTCAAATAATTATTTAAACGATTTGACATGATTTTTTCTAAGATTTTTGACAAAGATGGTAGAATTGAAATTGGTCGATAATTGGACAGAAGATTAGTGGGACCATTTTTATGCAAGGGAATAACTTTAGCAATCTTAAAAAGATCAGGAAACACACCGGTGGCAATTGATTGATTAATAATATGACTAAGTGGATCAATAATGTTATATATTGTTTTTTTGATGAAAGAAGAAGAAATACCATCATGGTTTGATGAATGAGAACACTTCAAATCATTGACATGTCCGAGAATTTCATCATTATCAACTAAATCCAAATAAAAAGAGTTTACGGTAAAATTTGAGGAAATATTGTCCAAAAAAATATTACTTTGAGAACCATCATTGTGTTTAATAATAGTGGTAAAATAATTATTGAATGCTTCACATATATTCTTCGGATTATCTATTATCAAACTATCTACATTTATATATATATATATATATATATATATATTTATATTATTCACCGTTTGAGTTGTGTTGTAGTGGTATGTGGGCGTTCATGGAAATATAAATAATATATCCATGAGTGGTATGTGGGCGTTCAGATGTTATTTAAATAGCATTAAAAATTGCATAAAAATGAAGCGCCTTACCAAATATTAAATACCGGAAAAGGTGTTTTTTAGTGGTTGATACATAAATTAGAGGTTTTATTGTGAATTTTGTAGGATATATTTGAAATAAATTTAAAAAATCGCAATGTCTGGCAGAGAAGATGAATATGATTACTTATTTAAAGGTTGGTCGCTTGGATACATTTTTCGTCAGTGGCTCCACGTCATATTCTGTTCGTTATTGATATTGTTGATTGTTGTTGAATGAAATCTGAAATGAATTTTAAGTAAATTCATGAAGAGAGGTGTGTTGTGTACTTAAAAATTGTGATTTATTACTTTCTACACTAACCTTTCATGCAGTTGTCCTAATTGGGGATTCTGGTGTTGGAAAAAGTAATCTGTTATCTCGATTCACCAGGAATGAATTCAATCTGGAAAGTAAAAGTACCATAGGTGTGGAGTTTGCTACAAGGCCAGTTTTATACTTTTATAAATATATGAATTTATGAAGATGATGATTTTATAATTTATAAATTTTATTCTGTTTTTGTTGTTAAAAATTTGGAAATTCATCCTTTTTTAATTTTAAATTCATACATATATTTATAACAATTTAGGAGCATAATGGTAGACAACAAGCGAATTAAGGCCCAAATATGGGACACAGCAGGACAAGAAAGATATAGAGCAATAACAAGCGCGTATGTTTTTTAATCATTGACATATAAATAATATTGTTTGTTCTAAACCATGCCTGAAATATTGATGCCTTTATACACCCACAGGTATTATAGAGGAGCTGTTGGTGCATTAGTGGTTTATGACATAGCCAAGCATATGACCTTTGAAAACGTTGAAAGGTGGTTGAAGGAGCTGAGGGACCATGCTGACGACAACATCGTCATAATGCTCGTTGGAAACAAAAGTGATCTACGTCACCTGCGAGCAGTACCAACTGATCTAGCCAAGTCCTTTGCTGGTTTGAACTTTTAATTAGCACTAATATTACATTTTACAAATTAATTTAATATTAAATTTGATATCCTAGATATTTTTTTTCTTTAAACATTAAATGTCGTTGTTTAAAAAAATGTGGGATTGAAGGTATAAGGATGACATATTCAGGCTTAAACTTTTTTCAACTAAGTCACTTCACATTATACGGCACTAGTATTTATTAAAGGATCTAATGTTCACAATTGCTGAGTGGTGCTTATTTGTAGCCTAAAAATTAGTTGTTGGTAAATCACCAGTTTTTGAAGATTTGGTAGCAGATGATATGTTGGATTTACAAAGGTCTTCATCAAACATCTCCAAAGAATCATCATAGGATCTTTTTATTACAAAAAGTTCTAGCTTATTTAACTTTTTCATTTATGGGGATACATATATACATGTCGCTTAGAAATTTTGAAATGGCAGTTTATATTTATGTAATTGGTTTTTTTTTGTCTATCAGAAAAAAACTCTGTATCATTTCTTGAGACATCAGCATTGGATTCCACAAATGTTGAAGCTGCATTCACTCATATTCTAACTGGTAATGTTGTTTTTCTTCATGCTAACTAATGTTAATTATTTTTTTTGTCCTAACCTTATTTCAATTTGATAATAATGTTATTAGTCAATCGTTTAATTTGCTTTAAGGAACAGGTAATTGTATATAATTCATGTAAATCGTTTTTGTCATTCTGGATATAATATGCTAATAAATTTTCATAAATTTTACTATATATAAACATCATAAAATAATATTACCAGTCAGTTTATTTGCTAAATATGCGAGCTTAGTTTTAAATCAAAAGTTTAAAAAAATTAGTCTAAGAATAAACTATTGAATGGTAAAATATCAGAATATATGTATGTGTATATTGTATATATATATATATATATATATATATATATATGACTGGAAGGAGACCATAATTGATTCAATATTTAATTAAAAAAAGTTAAAGAATTTTTAGATTTTGAAAGTTTACGGTTGAGCTTTTCAATATTTCTAACAGTAAGACCTATGATTTTAATTTTAATAAATTGGATGATAATTATAAAATTACTGTTAGAAATATTGAAAAGCTCAACCGAAAAACTTTCAAAAGCTAAAAATTCAGTAGATTTTATCAAATATATGTATATATATATATTAGGGATATGACAATTTTTAAAGACCCTATACCCATGTTATTTTTTGTGGAGTTTTTATGCAAAGATCAAGAAAAATCCAATGGCAAGTGTCAACTTTAAAAAAATGTCACCCCCTTAAATAAATTTATATTATATATACATTGTACAAAATGGTTTTTTTAATCAGAAATACAAACATACAGGTTTTAGTGTTCATTTGTCAAAAGAAATTTAATGTTAATTTTTTCAATGCTTTTACACAACAGAAGTAAATCCTGCAGAACTTTAATTGCCTGTTCAGCACAAATGTTTGACCTTTGAGTTGACATTGGAGTCGGCTCAACTGACCAAAAAGTCCTTAAAGTCTTTATTGCCTTTGATCTTTGCAAACGGCTGCCAAATTATTGTAGTTATCCTGATTATAAACCTGACAAGAAAACCAGATGTCACTCCACGTGCCAGTAATAGTCACATGATGACTGACCTTCGGCTGACTGTCAAAATTCTGGAAGTAAAATATAAGCTAGCAAAGCATAGATTGCTCAGCTATTCTATCTTGCATTGCTCATAATTGGCAAAGTTCTGAAATTTACTTCTAGGATGAACTCCTTGTGTATCTTCAATTGTGGTGCAGTAGCCAGCTCTACCATTTCTTGACTTCTGAAGATTATAGAGGGCTTTATCTTTCTACACAACTATTCTCCATTCTCATCAGTTACGTTGAACAAGTTGGTAAAGTCTTTGGTTCCTGGTTTTCTGCTGTTTTTTTCATACTTGTTTAGTACATTCTCAATTTTTCTTTCCACTGTAGATTTGCCTTTTTGAATTGGAAGATTCAGTTTTTTCTATAAGATTTTTACTTCTTTGATCGCTATCACAACTCTCTCCTGTCTACTTTTCACATTTGCAGCCAAGCACTTAAATCTGTCCAGGATATGCTGTTCTGTTGGCATTTTGTTCATTTGATCAAGACTGTCAACAATCTTTGCATACTTTTTTGAATTCTTGGCTTTTTCAAATCTCATCAAATTTGATTCCCATAGTTTCTTATTCAAATCTAAAGGAAGACTATTTTTAGACATCTTGACTATAGTCCTGTCGAATTATAATTTGAGTGTAAATTTAATTATCTACAAATAAACAAATCTTATGAGTTTAGGTTATCAAAATAAGTTTATAAAATATCAAAAGTCAGATGATGATAACAAATATAATATATAATATGAAAGATTATGTAATAAGCATGCGTACATATAGCAAAATCACACAGCAATAAACTGAAGCTGTGATACCTTAAACTGTACTGTATCTAACAATAGATAGATGGGAGAAAACGGTTTTCAGCTTAGGGGGGTGAACTTTTTTAAGATTCAACACTTTCAAATGATATTTCCAGTTTTAAAATGTAATTTCTCCACTCATAGTGGCATGGGAAACCAAAAATTGCCAAAAAAAATTTTTAGTCATATATCTAATATATATATATATATATATATATTCAGTAATGTGCCTACAGCATACAGGAATATTTCAAAAAGGTTAACAAACAGGATGTAAAAAAATTTAAAAAGATTGAAATTTAATTTTAAAATATTGATTAAAACTGATAAAAATGTTGGTGCCTAACAACAGCGATATACAAGATAGTTTCTCAGAAGCACATGGCGGACACGGGTGATGATGGTGTGAGTAAACCTTACAATGCACAAGCCATCACCATTCCTCCCACTTCGACGCTCGACAAAAAGAACAGCAGCTGTTGCTCTGGCTGATCGCAGCTCCATCGAACCACCACTGCTTGTTTGTTGTCGTCGACGTGGAATTTAATTTATCACAATTATTTACTTATAATTTATTTATTTCTTTATTATAATATTTTGTTTACAAAATTTTTGTTATTATTGTTAACATTTTTTAAAAATTGTAGTAAATAATTCTTCAGATGATTCGTTTAAATTTTATATGTCTATGTACGGCACACATTAAGGTGTCTATTTTTGCTCATGTGGTTGTATGTTAGCATGGTTACTTTGTCCTTAGCACATTATTATTTACGTTTAAATTAGTTAATATTTAACAAAATTTTAAAGCTATCATATTTTTATGTTATGTATAAATGAGTGTATGCATTTCAACTCGTCTAATGTGTTGTATACTGGATTGCTTATAATGACTGTCAACCCAATGTTTCCATTAACACATTTGCATAACAACTTGTTATATGTATTTTTTTGACTTATTCACTTAACGCTTGTTAAATTATAAATTTCAATTAATTTTACTGCTTGTACATTATTATTTCTGAGAAATAGATTCATTATAAATATACACAAGCCAATGCTTGTTGTCTCACACAACACTTCATGTTATAATCCTATTTATTTTCTCAGTGTGCTTTTGAACCCGGTCTGTTGGCAACATTTGCATATTGAATTCTATTAAAAACATCTTTCCATTATGATGAGAATGAGAATAATAACCCTGCTTAAGTACCGTACCAGTCTACCTAATTGTCGAGGTCCATTAACTTTTTCATTTTTTCTTTGAAATAAGCCGGTAGATACATGATTATAGCTTCTTTGTCATCAAAGTTTTACTTTAGTTTAAAAATGAGCTCTTCAAAGTGAATTTCTAAAGATTCAGTGATTTCTGGAAGCCAAATGTTGACCCACTTTCGACTGTTGCCCGTTAGTCTAATGCAATCGCTTGTTGCACATATTAATTCATGAATTAATTCACGAATTCATGAAAATATTGATTTCTCTACTAATTCTACGGGGTTTAATTGAGGCTAGTTGGTTTTGTTTAGTTACATAAACTTAATAGTGGCATTGTTTATCATAATGTATGTGTGGATATCCGTTCTGCATCTTTGTGATCAGCACAACATTAATTTTCATTTTTTGTTCACCAATCTTAGTTTAACCAGCAAATATTTTCTGTAACTGCTGCCTAGTAATAATATTTAGATTTTTTCAAAATATTATAATATTATTTAAATTGTGATTCTCACACGTTAATAAATACTATTTAAAGCATTTTCAAAACTTTGTTTTCAGAACTCCAATATTTGTCATTGATTTCTCCTTTCGTTTGATCTTCCACATTCATAACCAGCCGTTACCGAGAAATTAGCAGCTCGCGTGGTGCGCCGTCTGCACAAAGTGTTCGCACCTACATCAATTCTCAACTCGGCTGTTGAAATATTTTAGTAAATTTTGATGTCTACGTGAATAATGAAATTTAATGCATCCTCTTATCTGTGTGTACGTGCGCATTGTTATGTAAATAGTAATAATCTTCTTGTACATAATAATTAATTCTCTTCCATCAAAATTGTTTTTGTTTCTTCATAACTAAATTGTTAGTATCTGAATGAATTACAACATAAATATTGAATTTAATTAATATCCTAACACTTGTGCTAATTTGTAACGTTGATACTCTGTTTTGTCCTAGTGATAACGATGATGTTTCATTCATTCCCTTTTGTTCGAGTGTTAATATTTTTCATTTCATTTTAAATATCGATATATCGTTGTGCTTGTTATATATAAATATTTATTTATATTAAATATTTATTTATATATATGTGTGTGTGTGTTTGTGCACGCGTAACTGCTAGTTTGAACGTACGGTCTTCATTTTAATTAAACCAAAATAACTCTTAACTCAATCACATATGATCCTTATTTGTTTATTTCATTATTTGATTGCATACATCAATGATTGCATTTTGTACTTTTTTTTGTTGAACTTTTGTTTCACCGTTTATTGAGATTGTGTAATTAAAAATTAATTCATTTTTTAAATAAATTTTTCATTTGTATGCATGGAAAAGGGATTTATTTATTTATATTTACAACTAGTTTACAGTTTAGCGTTTCGGGCTTTTGCAGCTGTGTCGTTAGCTTCTTGGACAGCTTTTGGACAAAGTTCGTGACGCGTTATTTTGCCGTTCTCAAAAAAACCTTCATATCTTGGCAAGCCACTGCTCATGTCTTTAAATGTGATTTTTCCTGTTTCAAAGAAATAGGAAATTTGCTACAATCACGCAAAACATCAAAAATTCAATAAATCCAAACAAACGCCTTGATGCCAGTCAGTCCGAATTTATCAATTTGTTTTAATGAAATAATAGAATGTTATTAAACCTGATCCGTGAATTTGTCCGTTCTGAAATTCTCCCTCGTATTTAAGACCTTCATTTTCAAGCACCCCGTACCCGTCAAATTTATTGTTTTTGAAATTCCCACAGTATCGACTGCAACGTTTGTTCAATTAAAACTTCTTAGCTTTATATTTTTACAAATAATATAGTGAATTAAATTAAACTTGGCAGAATTAAAGTTAATTTGGCAGATAAACGGTTAACCCAACCCGTTGACAAACTCGTAAGTTCCTAATCCGTCGCACAAGCCGTTGGCAAAATGACCGCAGTATTTCGTTCCTTGTGTTAATTGAAAATTTCCTATTCCATCTTTGAGGCCGTTTTTAAAAGAACCCTGGTAATTGCTGCCATCATTATATTGAACGCCTTTCATCTTATACGTTCACAAAAATAAAGCAATTCAAATTTATTATAAATATCACCGTGCTAAAATTAATTAGAGTTGAACACAAGCTAAGCTGTAGCATATTCAAGAGACGAAACAAAGCTAGCTCTTGGTGCACAGCATAGAATGAATGCTTCATGAATATTACGGTGCTCGAAAGAGATCAAACTTTTATGAATGTCTATCTTTCCTTCCATTCTGTAACACGTTTAATTTCATGCTTTTGAATTTTTCATTTATTTATTTGTTGTTCTTTAAAAATTCAGACTGATTGATACAGATTTGGTACAAAGTGAAAGGCAGAAAATGAATAAAACATGATGAAATTAATAGAAATTAAAAAATAAATATTATAAAATAAAGGTTTAAATAAGTGAATGCACTGCCGATTTGAAAGATAAGATTTTTTCCACACACAAAAAGAGATTACCTGAAACAAAAAGTTTCATAAACATGAAACTGTTTCATATTTTCATATCTTCATATATTCATATATATTCATTTTCATATATATTCATTTTCATATTTTCGTATATATTTTCGAAGTTTCATATCCAGCAATCACAACCACCTTCAATAAATTGAGAAATCACCGCCATAAAGAAACCTCAAAAACGATACGTTTTGGGTTTATACTTCACACATCTTGTTATAAAAATGCCTAAACTAAAGCAATTGCATTCAATCAATCAATCAATTAACTTGTAAAGCGCTATTTCCACGATGTTCAACAGCGCTCCTCTGTAAATTTTACAAACAGATGGGTCTTGGGATCCGCTCTGAACTTCGCAAGTGATGAAGAAGGAGGTAGAGACTTCCAGAGAAAAGTGCCAACAAACATCTAGCACATACCTCACCAATGCATGCTTACTTATTTTTATTTTTACGTTATTTCTATTTATCGTTAGACAGGAATGGCCTTATCAAATTTTTTCAAAATAAAAAGGACTTTTAACGTCCTATATTTTTTACATTTTATATATAAAATATTTAGATGAGGTTTTATATATTGGTTATGATTGGTTATGATAACGCCATGGAATTTTAAACTGGAATTGCCCTATCGTATCCTCTCCATTGTACGCTTTGCAGTAAGCAAAACAAGCAATGACGTCACGCATTTATGATAATTGTTGCTTAGGCACTCCATCGTGAAATATAGTGTAATGAGGTAATCTAACAACCACTGGAAAAGATCGCGGTCAATAACGAATAACATTCGCGAAGTACTTTTGTCACTTGTTGAATATCACCACATTTCAACTCTTACAATGTGTTAAAGATCGGGTTTTGTGAAAGTCGATGGTCGCCAATGTCCTGAAAGGATAATCAATCAATCAATGATCCTCCTTTGTCCATCAGGGGACCGTCGAGGCCGATGGTGTAACATCTAAGCATGCTTTTTACATTTCTATTTTTTCTTTTCAATAACTTTTTCTATCTTTGGCCAGTTTTATTGGATTCAGAATAGCAACACCAGTCCATCCAGTCCTGAAAGGATGAGGCACGAGAAATAAGATGAATGAGGTAATTGTTTCAAAGCCAATGTTTAGATAAAAAAAACTCTTTATTTTACTTTATATATATAATGCAATGTATAACGCTAAATATATGAACGCCATTGCTTTTTAGTCAATGTTTTAGTTTGAGACTATAGTTCGATTACTGTTGTTAGGGCTTTATTATATTATTGTTCGTAGCTGCTTAAACTTGCGTTGGGGGCTTCGGCTTTAGTTTATAATTCTCGCTAGTAAACAAAGTTGTTCGAAGGTTTATTAGTATTTTTAAATCTGGCGAACGAAAATTTTATAAATTTGTTGAAAATTAATTAATTTACAAGTTAATCATGGCTGGAATATTGCTTGAGACTATGAGCAATCGAAAGCTGATATGTTATTTCATTGTTCTCTTAATTTTCCAGATTGCTTTCTTTCTCATTGGAGGACTGATTTGTAAGTTAAATTAATGAATCTGATGTTGTTATTTATATTATTATTCATTATCATAATTAGTCAATTAGTGTAAGTTTCACCAATTTTCATACTTACAATTTTCATAATCATGAAAATGTCAACTATGCTGTCATTATGGAAAGCCAAAACTTATTTGAATACTGAATGAATACTAAACAATAAAACACAGAATAATATAAGAAGAAAACCAGATTCGAATGAGAATGAGGTTATTTAGAAAATTATTGGGTAAAAGACAATAAAAAATTTTGTTCAAATTACTAAATTAGTTTTTAATGCAACAATAACTACCTTTAAAAAAATAAATTTGATATATAATATAAGAAAAGATAAGTTAGATTTTAAAAAAATCTGAGTAGGTCTTCCTAAAAAATAGTATTAAATGAAAATTATTATTTTTAGTGAAAAAACAAACATATATTTTTATTATATCTTTATCTTAAAAGGGTTTTAATTTTTAGAATCTTGTTAATTCTAACTACAACAAATATAATGTGATATATAAGAAAGAACCAATATATAAAAAACATAGCAAACTGTGCTATTAAAAACTGAAAGTGTAAATATTAAAAGCATTTACATAACAATTGCAACATGTGAATGGTTAATATTTCATTTTATGTTTCTCATTAGCATTCAGATAGATACTGTCTGGATAAGCCAACTTTAAAAAAATATATGTTATTATCCCTAAACACTTTCTTTGTTTGATTCTTTATTTATTCTGTTCTTACATTTGTATATATTTACACAAAATCATATGTAGTAATTCTGTTAGTATTTATTATAATCATTACAGTTTTAAGTAAGTTTTTCTTATCAGCAGCAATCATTCTTGACATATACAATCAATTATCTTTCAGAATATGTACATTACCTCCGTACATTTTAATGGAAACATCAAAAAAAATTTTGGTCTGGATTTGAGTTTTTTTTTTAAATGAATTAATTTCAACTACAAAACATGTAGCTTTTCAAACAAAATATTTGATAAAAAATTCAATATAAATAATGTATTTATTGTATAAAGTCTTCTAGATGGTTATGACCTCTGTTTTAATAGTTTCACCATATTTTACCTTCACGACTGACAATCAAAAAATGATGCATTAATTTTATCTATAAAGCCATCCTATTCACCTCATAAGCCCATAAGATATTTGGTTTGTCAAGTTAGTTCAACTTTTCACTTTAATATCAACTGCTCTGTTATAGAACATGATTATTTGAATCTTTTGTTACCCCGTTTTTATTTGTCTCGACAGAAGTAGTTAACTTTTTGAGAGTAGGAGTGAGATATTTCCAAATAGTAATATTTTTTATTTACCAATTTTTATTTGTTTTAACAACATTTCTCTAAGAGTTTATTCAACAAATTAATTCTACATCTAGCTCCTCATCCAACTAACGTACAAGGACTTCTAAGCAATATATGCCTGAACCCAAAATCTGATGATTTTATTTGGTTTGCAAGAGGCGAGAAGAATTGTCTTCGTCCATTATCAGACTCTGACAAAAGCCTGGCTGAGAAAGCCAAAGTTTACAACATTACTGATGGCAAACAACTTGTTTTTTCCTGGAAATTTCCTTTGCCAAAAGATAATGAATATTTGCACATGTCTCCTCTCCACCAGAACATGATGGCCATGATCAGGATACAAATGAAGATGCCTGAAGATCAGAACAATTCTGCTTCAAGTAAGTTTTCAATATGTATTCTAAGTTTTGTACTTGTTTGTGCTTTTAACTGTTGATTCTGATTAAAACTCTTTCCGATGTTTACCTACTATTAAATTTGTAAACTAGGAATGTTCCCAGAATCCATTGTAATGGATGGTAGATTGGGATATCGAGATAATGATAAAGAAGAATGGCAAGAAATATCGAGATCTCAGTCTATGAAGAGATTTCTCAAATGCAATTCTGAAAATTACCACGATGGAACAAAAGTGCTGTCTTTCCTATTAAAATAAATTAATTAGTACATTAATGTATCTTTTAAGGGTTCCAATACTGTCAACATAAATTTTCAATACTAAATACAACCTCAAACAATTAGCTTGCCATTATTTACTGATTAAGTTTTTGAAATATTCTAAACAAAATTTATTTTTTTACTAGGAGCTTTTGCTTGATTGTGAACTTCTTCCATTTTTTGAGTTGGGAAGTGTTCATCACAGCGAATACCTCATCAATGTCAGGTTCCCATCCGAGGATAACGAATTTTTGGGAGAACTTTATGACATCTGGATTTATGTTGGTGTTATCTGTTTTATAATTTACATTACTTAATAACTTCCTTGATCATAAATTAATTTAAAGGTGATCCATCAAAATGGCGGATTCACATTTGTTTGGTTCTCCTTAAAAACCCTGGTCTTCCCTATTGTCACATGCGCTTTGGTCTGGTATATTTGGAGACTCTTGCAACTAAACAGGAAGCCTAGTGTCTTGGAGAGGTGCAGTGCATTTTATTTTTATTTTTCCTTTTTTATTTATCCTCTTTTAAATTGGAATATATTTAAATTATGGTTTCATCCAAGCATGGAAAATTAAATGAATAGCAAATTCTGATTGAATATTTTAAACTTTTCAGAACTTTGTTAGCTGTTGGCGCTGCAATTACTCTAATGAATTGTGAGTTTTTGAACATTTTGTTTTAATTTTGCATTTAAATGCAATAAATATTTTGATTAGTGTGATGCAAATTGATTTAATAATCCAAGTGACAAATTGATAATTTTCCAAACGAAGTGCCAATTGATTGGTTGACTCTCTGGCTGAACATGCCCTTCATGATGTTATACAGTGACATAAGGCAGGGCCTCTTCTACTCTGTGCTCCTTTGTTTCTGGGTCATCTTTGCCGGAGAACATATGATGGTGTGTTGTCATTCATTTCTTTCACCATTTTATTTTCCATCATCCTAATATGATTCTGCCGACAGATTTATGACTGTGTTGTCATAATGCTATAAATTTTTTCAAATAGAAATAATCCTTTTTTATGGTGCTTACAATAGACAACTGCTTGCAGTGTGAATTGATGCAAAATGTTTTTTCATTGAAATTTGTTAGTGTTTTGTTTCACTTAATTGTCATCAGGATTCAGTGAAGAGAGATGACTTGAAATATTATTGGAAGCAATTAACAGCTGTTGGAGTGGCATGTGTCTGCATGTTTCTATTCGATTTCTGCGAGAGGTTGGTTATCACACATGTGCTCAGGTTTTTGAATGGTAACGTTCGTTATTTAGATATGAAATTTTTAACAGAATTGTTTTATTGCAGTTTCCCTTTTATTTTCATGTAAAATTTTTTTTTACTTACCATTTACTGTGCTGTTCACTTACCAATTCCTATTCCTTAAAAACATTTTTAGCTTCTCAGGACGATTTGCTTGTACGTTTCTTTTACCTATTTCATTCCAATTAGGTTGATAATGAGATGCCAACTTTCTTCCTATCAAAATATTTTAATCGAACGTTAATTTTTTCTCAGATTCTTCACTTTGATTCTTTTTTGGTCAGCTTCTGTTGAAATTCGTGTCTGTAAAAACAAGAGCTTGTTTTCAAAACTTTCTCCAAGTTTTTCCTATTTATATAATACTTCAAACTGAAAAGTAGTTGATAAGAAAATGGATTTGTGCATATGGTGAACATATATTGGTAAGGGCCAAACATAGGAAGTATGTGAAGAATGTGAAGGCGATACCTGGTATGCTGCAGCATAAGTATGGTTGTGATGGATGTGACAACAAAAGAAATGGGGAGGAGGAAGAAGGATAAGTTTGTGGCAAAGAGAAAGACATGGTAGTTGCAGGATGCAGAGGTGAGGAAGGCATTTGAAGTGAAGGTGGCTGAAAATTGGGAGAGTGGTAAGGATGGAGATGTTTGGGAGAGATACAGGGACTGTGTGTTGGCTACGGCAGATAAAGTATGTGGATGGACGAAAGGAAAGTGTAGGCATGGTGAGACGTGGTGGTGGGATGAAGATATAAGAAGGGTTTTGGAAGTCAAGAAGGAGAGGTTTAGGGTATGGAGAAGGGGCATGACGGAGGAAGCGGAGTCTGAGTATAGGAAGGCTAAGAAGGTTGCAAAACAGGCAGTGGCAACTGCAATGACGAAAGCATCAGATAGGTTAATGAAGGAAATGGAATTTGATGTGAGTTCGAGGAAAATGTTCAAAGTAGCAAAGCAGTCAATGAGGGATAGGAAAGATGTTATAGGGAATGTATGTGTTTGGGATGGATCTGGCAAGTTGTGCATAGATGAGGAGGAAAAAGCTCAGGTGTGGAAAGCTCATATGGAAAGGTTGATGAATGAAGAGAATGAGTGGGATGGAGATGTGGAATCATCGGTTACACACGGACCTATAGAGAAGGTGACGATGGAGGAAGTAGAGAAAGCAGTTAGAGAAATGAAACTAGGTAAGGCGACAGGGGTTTCGGAAGTGGCGGCAGAACATATAAAAGCGAGTGGGATGATAGGAATTGAAGTTATGATGAGAATTGCTAACAGTATGTTTGAGATGAAGGTATACCTGAGGATTGGCGACACAGTGTGTTGGTGCCGTTGTATAAGGGCAAAGGAGATGTGAGAGATTGTGGGTCATATAGGGGTGTGAAATTGCTAGAGCACGGAATGAAGGTAGTGGAGAGAGTGCTTGAGAGGAGGTTGAGAAATATGGTGACAGTTAATGAAATGCAGTGTGGGTTTATGCCTGGTAGGGGAACGGTGGATGCGTTGTTCATGGTGAGAATGTTGCAGGAGAATTATAGAAAGAAGAAACGAAGATTGTACATGTGTTTCGTGGATCTAGAAAAGGCTTTTGATCGAGTACCGAGGAAGGTCATTGAATGGGCGTTGAGGAAGAAAGGAGTGAATGAGAGACTTGTTAAAGCTGTGATGCAGCTGTATGAAGGGACAAAGACAAAGGTGAGGGTTGGAAGGGGGGGGATGTCGGACGCTTTTAGTGTTAAGGTAGGAATGCATCAAGGATCAGTGTTATCACCGTTTCTGTTTGCAATTGTGATGGATGTTGTGTGTGGAAACATAATGGAGGGGTGGTTATTTGAGATTTTGTATGCAGATGATTTAGTCTTGATGGCTGATAGCATGGAAGAATTGCAGTTAAAATTTGACAGATGGAAAAGTGTTATTGAAAAGAAAGGGTTAAAAGTTAATATTGGTAAAACGAAGGTAATGGTGAGTGGGGAAGGTGGGGAGCGAGTGATAAGTAAAATAGACCCATGTGGGGTATGTGACAGGAGAGTGAAGACTAACTCGGTATTGTGTATAGGATGTCAGAAATGGGTGCATGAGAGATGTAGTGGTGTGAGGGGGGCACTGAAAAAGGTGGAAGGCACGTTCAAATGTAAGAAATGTGTTCATGGTGTGATTAATAGGACGGACGCAAGGACGGGGTTGAGTGGTGGTATTGAAAGAGTGGAAAGCTTTGTTTACTTAGGGGATAAGCTGAACGCGGATGGAGGATGTTTGAGCGCAGTTACGGCTAGAGTTCGTGTGGGATGGATGAAATTTAGGGAACTGGGTGGGGTATTGTGTGGAAGGAAATGGTCAGTGAAGATGAAAGGGAGGGTATATAAAGCATGTGTGAGAGCAGCGATGGTATATGGTGGTGAAACTTGGGTGTTGAGGAGAGAGGAAGAAAGTGTACTGCAGAGGGCTGAAAGAGCTATGGTGAGGATGATGTGTGGGGTTAAAGTGAAGGATAGGATCCCCGTAGTACAGAGCTGATGTCGATGATGGGACTGAATGAGGACATTGTGACATTGATAAGGAGATTGAGATTGCGGTGGTATGGACATGTGTTGAAAAGGGATGAAAGGGTCGGGATTAGGCGAGCGTTGGAGTTCGAGGTTGAAGGAGTGGTAGGAAGGGGTCGTCCGCGATTGGGATGGAGAGAGCAGGTGGAGAAGGACAGGGTGAAAGCGGGGTTGCGTGATACTGAGGCGAGTGACAGATGTGGATGGCGTCGAGGGGTATTTCGGTTTCATCATAGGTAACCAAACGGCAACCCCCGATTTCGGGGAAAATGTCGTCTAAACGTGTGTTGTTTGTTTGTTGTTTGTTTGTTTGAACATTTGAGTAGAAGATAATGAAATTACTTGCATGTTCAATATCATTTGCAAGAGTTTCTCTCCAGTCTACCAAACCGACCCTTTTCTAGGGTTGGGATGGTTGAAACCATGTTGTCATTCTGCCTTATCCGAAAACTTGTATGTAAAAAATTTTACGTCAATTGGTTCAGTAATTTTTTGAGTCGACATTGATCAAGCAGACAAACAAAGAGAGCTTGTTGTTTTTTTGTTGTATATAGAAAATATATGTTGTTTATTTATAAAATGTAATATAAATATAATATATATGAATACAAAAATGATGAATATTTATGATGCAGAGGAATCCAACTGACCAACCCATTTTTTTCTATTTGGTCCACCAGAGCAGGGGCCAATGTTGCTGTGAGTTTGTATTTCTTTTTAATTTTATATTTTCTAATTATTTAAATATTTACTATTTACCACTGAATTAGAAATTCATTATTTAATCTTTGTTTCTCTTATTTAAGAGACAAATATTTTTATACACTATTTTGCCACATCTAAAGTTTTCCAATTCTCTTAATTTTCAACACAACTGTACCTATTTTATTAACTTTTTAGCATTTTGTCAAAATATCTCTCTTTATTTTTATATATACAAAATAACTTTTTCTGGTCTTATAACATCATTTCAAAGTGTAGTCTGGATGACTAATTATGAATTTATATTGATTCAACTTTTATAAATTAGTTTATAGAATGAAATAGTTTTGCTCTTGCTTTGTCCAATTTTTGTTTTTTTCCAACTTCAGTTTTGCAACTGTATTAACGATTGCTTTTTTAAAAGTTGTTCTGATATATTGACTCATCCATCTGTAATCATGTTATTGATGTTTGTGTAGTTATCAAAATTTTATTTTTTATTTTCTACATTTAATCTACTACTACAGAAAAAACAAGCTGTTCTTAAACTTTTCACCATTATTTTATGTTTAACACTTTAAAATTTTGTCAATTACGATTATTTAAGATTATTTATTATCCAACTTGTGTGAACATTCAGTTTGGCTTCATTGTGTTGGCTGGCATGGCGGCATGCGTGTACTTCATATATTTGATGGTCACCATTGTTTGTGTCTTCAAGAATATTTGCGCCAAGAAGCATGTCATCCCGTCAATGAGCAAAGCCAGGCAGAAGTTCTACAAGGTTTTACGAATTTTGATCCACCTTTCGCCTTCTGGAAACTTTGATTATTATAGTTTTAAAGGAATCATTAATTATTATGCTGGATTTATCATAAAATATTAGTGATTAAACTTTTCTCCAAAAACAAACTTAAAATTATTTTTGAAATGATGCTTCATACGGTTATATTTCTTCATCACAAATATATTGAATGATCAATTCAGAACCAGATCTACCGCTTCTCTTTCCTGATGACCTTGACATGGTTGTGTGCTGGCATGACTGTGGTCTTCTTCATTGTTGGACAGGTGGAGGAAGGACATTGGAAGTGGGGCAATGAGGATGTCCAGTACACGAGCGCCGTGCAGACTGGTTCGCTCGTGCTTCTAATTTACAATTCGTTTTCATATTTTGTTTTAATTTGGTGAAATGTTATTGTCTCAATTTTCTTTAAAGATTAGCTATGTTTAAATAAAATTAATTATTAATAATTTATTTGTACACTATTTTTGATCATTTCAATAAATTTTTCAAAGGGCAGTGTTTTATAATTTGTTGTAACATATTCACCTGTTCTTGTTATTTAAAAGGAGTTTATGGCATGTGGAACTTGTACGTGCTGACTCTACTGATCCTCTATGCCCCGTCCAACAAAACTGTATGCCCAATTGATCTGGACGAGAATTCTCTTTATAGTTTGTTTCTTAAGTAACAACTGTCAGTAAGATTGCAAATGGGTAGATTCAATTTGTTTGCTTGCTTGATGTCTAGAATATTTGGTGTATTGGTGTAACAGTGAAGTCTTTGGCAATGCTAATGCAGTGACCAGGTTTGATTACATAAAGATCCATCCCCGCCAATCACATGCAATGTGTTTGATGCTTAGTTTCACGTGTATTTGCATTCACTGTGTGTTGTTGATAACTGTAAAGAATGTTGAAGGGGGAATTGAAATAAACACATAAATCTTGAAAACAAATTTGAAAATAACATTGATGAATAAGACTGGATGAATTTATTTTTTGATAGTTGTTGAGCCCGTGACAACGACCAGTGATGCTGATGTGGTCAAATACTCAACAGTTCCCGCTACCCTGACCAAGTTCATGCAGAAAACATCCATCGAATAAACTTTCTTTTTCTAACAATGACGGGCTGTCTATATTTTTTCTCTATCATGTATCCATATTTCAAAATCATAAATGAACTCATTTTGTTTTAAACCACATATATATATGTTTTATTTAGATTTTCATATTTACATGCACAACTTGAGATATTAAGAATTTTTTTAACTCTTGTCTTATTTGTATCACATTATATTGATTTTTATCATGTTTTTTCTGCATTAATCAATTAATAGATTTAACATTTTCGAAGAAATGTTCACCTGCTGATTATTCAAATCAAAAACATTATTTTTATTTTGAGAAATATATGTGCTTATTTTTGTCAAAATAATTTTTAGCAATACAAACATAATTTTTGTAGTTTAAAATGAGCTATTAAATATAGAATTTTGTCTTACGATATTTCTCTACACCACTTAATGTTCTCAATCGTTATGCCTCCAACGAATTTCACTTATAAATTTTGCATTATTGTTTGTAGTTGTACGTGGATGAGTTTTTATCATTTGCCATTTAAAGAAATATATTGCTACTGAAATTTTTCATCACTTTGTTATATTTCCTAATTTTTCAAGTAAATGTTTATCTTTTTTATATTTTGACGGTTAGGATAAAGATTTTATAAAAAATCTTTTATTAAATCATGTTGTCATATCATACAGGAACATCTCAGATTGAAACTTTAGACCACCTGATCTTCATTTTTCTCGTTTGCAGAATTTTTATCTCTATATTTTACAGCTGCTGCTAACAACGTGTAGCCGAAATTTCACTATTTTACCTATTATTTAACACTAAGACTTATTGAACTATTTTCAAATGTTCCAATTATTGTTTATAGATGTCGTTTTTTAAGCTTTTTTATATTAGATGTCCATTGTTTGTTTTATATTTTCGTTTTATATCCAGTGAGATGCGGCCCATTTAAGTTGGAAGCAAAACAGCCAAACCATTTCTTGCATGTCTGCTATAAAATATGTCCTATTAATTAATACCTAAGTAATTAGATTTCCTGACCCCAGTCCAAACTCTTTTCGTTTACCTCTGCGTAGCATTTGAGTTAGCCTGACCTCACCAAATGTTGGTCATTGCCACTAACTGATTTGCTGATATTTTTTGGTCTCATTATCTTCATGAGATATTTGCACGTTTTTAAACATTTGTCCAACGACAGTTATCAATCTTTTCTCATTTGCATGGATTCAACTTATTAGTTTTTTCAAATCTTCATTTTCTTTCGTTTTTAAAGTAGCTTTTTTGTAATTTATTAGTTTTTACGTTAATTATGTTACATTTATTATATGTTGCCTACTGCTTGTTATATTTTGTAGCCTAGTTTTGTTATAATTTTAGATTAGTCGTTATCAGCGTAAAGCTGTTTACATTTTGTTTAATAAAATGGTTGTCTTATTGGTTTTTGAATCATCGTCTTGCATATTACTATAGTTCACTTTCGGAATAGTAGATATTATTATTATTATAAATTGATGTCGGAGAGCTGTGTGTTTAAACATTTGTTGACAACTGGTGAATTGCTTTCTGGTTGGCGCAACTGAATATATGAAGACGAACGAGTAGAATAGATAACATAATGGAAAAAAATAGAATATTACATTTATGTCATATTTTTAGATAAGGGCTTCTTCAGCTTTTGTGTTGGCATACGCGTTATAACTTTTTGCCCAAGCGTACTTGAAAGACCGAAAATTGAATGAAAATTAATTAGATATTTAATATTTAGATATTTAACATTTGACAATGAAAATTGAATGAAAATTAATTAGATATTTAAAATATTTGTTAAATACATCAAACAAACTATAAAAACTTTAAAATTTAACACTTGAATAGTTTAATGAAATAAAACTTTATAATTGCTCACTTGGAATTTTGTAAATGGAAAGGATAGCTAAATCAGTAAGACGATCTTTATTAAAACTATTTCTTGGAAAAATTTTCATTCTTTTCTATTGTAAAAAGTTTTTTGCTTTTGATGACGTTGAAACTGGCTGCGTTGCCAAAATGAGCATAAATGTTTAAAACGTTTGGGAAACGATTGGTAGTGCAACCTACTAATGTCTTAATAGCTGATTTTGATTGTTCGCGGGGCTGCATTTTCTGAATGGCTGAATGTCGAAAGATGCCTATCCATAAATTTCATAAAAAAGAAACTTTTTCGAAGTCAATGGCGTTTTCTTGAGAGATTTTCAATGTCTCTACGTTCTTGTAGTCTTGTTAACATCAATCATCGAATGGGTTCTAAAAACGACTAGAGTTCAACGAAAGAAAATTGAAGCCAAAAAAAGAAAATTAAGCTAAGCTTAACAATGCATGGAAAAAGATTTAATACAAGGGACGCTGTCCGGATCAAAGCGAAGAGAAAAGCAGAGTAGAAAATGGATCAAATAGTTGACTATAAAGCTTCTAATTCATTACTGATATTCAACAGTTGTAGTCAGTTTAACTTTTATTATTAATATTGAAATACAACGATTCTCAAGAGCACTCCTCATATATAGAATAGAGAATAGGGCCTCTGAGAATAGTTCAGCAGAGGTCCTCTACAAGTCAAAAACACTATGGACTTAACACCTTTCCACATTATTGAACAAATGACGCACAAATTGAAAAAAGAGGAAATAAAATTTTGGTAAAATTTTATTTAGTTTAATTTTATTCTTCATATGTGGTTCAATACTAGTGAAGTTGCGCAAATGAGCGAATAGTAAATTTTCTTATTGTTATGCTTTTACGTCAAAAAAGAATTATGATCATTAGATTGGTCAACCTAAGTACATCAAATAACCAGATATTTTTGCATAGGAGTTAGCATTCAATGTTTTCGATAGCGGAAACTACATTAAAATGATCTGATTCGCGTGCTAAATAAAGGTCTGACCTCACCCAACCCAGTTTAATCTACAGCTGTTGAGAATAACCACACACACACACGCGCGCGCACACTCACACACACGTTGTGACCGAGATTGCACGTAAAACGAGAAACAATCACACTTCATTTTTCAAACATTTCTCCGTAAAATTGTATTTGTTTTATTTAGTTCAGTATAATGAGCATATCTCTCCTCATTAAGGCTGCAGATTACATTGAAAATTACAAAACGAAAGGTTTGTTTACGTTTCTTCACTTCACAGATCTCCCATTCAATTTTTCACTTGTGATGCCGTTCTAATTTATTTATAAAATGTCGTTCAAACTTATTTTCACTTGGTAAGGTAAATTCGTGGCAGACGTTCAGCTCTGGTTTATATTGAGCATCAGCTTGTATTTGTTTATGGGTTGCATTTTAAAAATATTTTCTTTTTATGGCAAATATTTAATGTTAATTTGTTATTTTATTTTAATCTTACTAATTCCCATTTTTCAGCAACTGCAGCCACAAACACAGCCACAAAAAAGTGGTGCAGTGCCTAGCAAGCTCTAGTTGCAGGCTGCACTTGAGATGAGTTGGTTGCTGCTCCTATTAAGTTTTAAATAATGTCATAACAGTGGCATATGATGATGCATGTTACAAATATAGTATTATTAACAAATTTTTTATTAAATAAATCAATAAATAACTGTCTATTATTGCACACTAGAATACTATTTGTGGTGTTTGTTCTTTATTTTGGACTTGATGAAATTGTGAAAGTTGTACATCATAATTTTTTTAAGTTAATAGATTTTATTTAGATGATTTATTCAGAAACAGTTATTAGTTAATGCTAGTACCATTTGAAATTTTATCATATAATAGTATCAATATTTTTTAGTAATGCTTATGTTTAAGCTGGGGTCATAATCAGAGTTGTAATTACAACATTTCTCATCACATATGATAAATATATCCTTGATCATAGTGAGGTTATCCAATAAACTTATGTAGCATTTTTACAGAAATTATTAGACTTCAAGGGTAAAAATTAAATGATTAAATATTAGTTATATACCAGTAGGTTTTTTCAAGTTTATTACCTCCTGAAAACATTTTCATATGGGGATACATTTTGCACAAATGTGTTTTTAACACCATATGAGGCTATATGTAATAAATGGAGTTAGATGCAAGAGGTGAAGAAAAATGCTTAATCTGCTTAACAATGATTGATCAGCATGAATGAGGTGGGGGGTTTATAAAAGACCAGAAAATATTTGAAATATTAAACATGAAGATTTTATGCTATTTGGTAATGGTGAATTTTACAGCATGTTTCAAAGTGGATTCAATTTTTGTTTATTCAAAAATTCTCTTTGCCAAAATTTACGGTGAAGCAAATACCTAACTATATATCTTTGGAGCAATTTATTGATATATTTCTTATCATTTTAATCCACAGAAACTGATCATGAATATGCATTAAGTCACCAACATTCTTGTTATGCAATAAAAACAACCATTCAACCAACATCTACTAAACCAAAAAGGAAAACCAAAGTAAAGAAAGTTGCACTAACCAAGCAAGTTTTTATAACTTTTTTGGTCTTTTCATCATTATTACTAAACAGTTAAGTGTAAGTTTCTTGTTTCTTAGGAAATGTCAGATTTTGAGTAATTTATTTGTGCACAAAATGTTTTTCAAGAATAATTTTAATGAAATATTCTTGCAAAGTTAATGCTTTTGGTTTTGAGGGAAAAATTTGGAGTAGTTAATTTGTTAAACTCTGGTTTATTGGGTGCTTAGCTATAAAAATTGATAAAAGTATGCAAATATTGTTATGTTTACATTAAAAGGTAATGGCTATTGTACAATTTGGTAGACCTCTTTCAAATTGTTACTATTAAGATGATTCATTGGAATGTATAATTTCTCTTGCGAAATTTCACTTTAAACCATGTCATGTTTTCATGATTTTAGTGAGTTTTTGAACAATATATAAAATTTAACATTGTCTGCAAATATGATTAAGGACCGTGTTTATTTCTATTTGATCTCTTTAATCTGTGATCTTTTTGATCTCTTTCCAAATCTTTAACTTTCCATGTAATTTTGCAAAGATGTTTTATCATTTTTAAGAATAAAATATAATTTACAAATAGACAAAATAACTTTTTGTAGAGTGTCCCATAATGAGCTAGAGAAGAAAAGGTTATTTTTTAATTGTTTTCAATAGATTGTTACATTTGATATTTTTGTTCATTTTTATATTTTAAGTTCGAGACCATTTCAAGCAAATTATAATTAACCCAATTTTGGGGTTGAATTTATTTATAGAAGGCATTATAGTAGGTAATTGTCTTTACAAGACTAGCTAGCTTGATTGTATTGTTTAAATAATTTGTTGGTTTCATAAGTGTTTATGGTTTTCAGTTTATTTTAATTTTCAGTGGTGGGTCTATCTATATGATATTTCTCAGTGATTGTTGTTTGGTCCTTTCCTTATGATCTTTTCATTCTTCTGATTCTTCTCATATAATCAGCTTGCAAAATTTCACAATATTTTCTGACACCCTCTTTTTGATATTCTTGGAATTTGAGTTGCAATAAAATCAATTAAATTTCATTAGTTTTTTTATTATATAAAATTATATTTATTTATTATATTTTTTTTATAAATATAAAAGTTTGATAAAAGGTAAAGTGTACAAAAGATAGCAAAGGCCTGTGGCTTGAGTATGGTTTAATTGAATCACTTTGGCTTATCAGGAAATGGAACAATTGATTCAATATTTATTACTTTACTGTCTGTGGATTTGGAGAAAGCCCATTGCAAAGTACCAAACAATGTAAGCTAGTAGAAACTACAAAGCGAAAAATGGCTCTAAAAGAATTGCGATTTGCTGCTATTTAAAAGTTGTACTGAGTCGGGAGTAGATTGGTTAGAGCAGTTGGAAATGGAATGAAAGCAGCTTGGAATATATTTTTAGAAGTGACATCTGCATTATTTTACAAGAGCGAATATAAATAGCTTGCATAGGAAGCTGTGTGCTCTACAGAGGCTAAACATGGGCAATGTCGGTAGAAGACTTTAGAACACTAAACAGAACATAAATGCAAATGTTAAGATGAACAACAGAATTCAACTTGGAAATACAATCGTATTTAAGATTTAAAAAATGAGAACAGATGAACTTGAGGCTGTACTTTGGTGCACTAGGCAAAAAGGATAGCAGTGATTGTGTGAAGAAACGTAGAACGTTTGAAATCATAAGATCAAGTTAATGTGGTAAATGGGAGCTCACATAACAAAAGTGAGTAGCAACAGAGTTGAAAGCTATGAGCCTAAAATAAACATGGCAAATGATAGAAATGACGCGGGACTGCCAACATTTGCGCTCTGCTATGTGCCTCGGCTGGTCACCCGTGCCTATAAACGCTTATGATAATGACTGAGGATGAAATGACCGTTTAATAATGAAGTTATTAAATTGTAGACGTGCGCACATGAGGCAGTGTTCCCAAGCTCTCCGCGAGGTCGTTCCCATGAGGAGAGACTCGTCGAGGCACACCTTGCTGGAACTCCTCGTGGAATCGAGGAAATATATCGTTGTGGGTTTCCATTTCATTTCGATTTGTTATAATTTTTCAAGTTTTGACCTGTTTATTTTTATATATTATTGTAACGTTCAAACACTGACTGATAAAACAACCGAACGCATTGATAGGACATAACTCGACATAGAAATGAGCTGCAGATGACTCTCCTGCAACTGAAGAAGGAGCAGGAAGCACTGAAATGGAGGAAGAGGCAGGTCCTCTCCAACTCCCTGGCTTACAGAGTTAGGTTGGGTCATTCGGTTAGCAGTGAATGTAGCAACTCATCCATTGGATCGTCCTCTTCGCCCTTCACTGCAGGGTCCATTTCTCCTGACCCTGGTCAGTTGGTTGGTCGGCTGGTTGATCAATTGATTGGTTCGTTGGTTGACCGTTCGGTTGGTTGGGTGGCTGGTTGATTTGTTTATCAATAAGTTCATTTATTATATTAATTCATGAAATACTGCTTTAACTACTAATAACGTAAAAATATAAAAATGTTCTTAATCATGTTTAATGAAAAATTTGTCATGCTATCAATTATATTTTTCTCCAGTTGGTCAGTTGGACATGGTGGGTGACTATGGAGATCTAAGCAATTCCTGTGATAGCATGATCAATATCATTGACGTCTTATGATCGTGACCACGCAGTAATATTACGATGATGATGGGGATGATGATGATGATGATGGTGATGATGATAGTGATGATGATGATGGTGATGATGATGATGACTGAGCTTTCATTGCTGGCTCATTCAATTTGTCTTAAACAAATTCCATTAATCATCATCAAATATTAATGACGTCATCATTCTAAATACTGTGTGGTCCAATGTGATAACTTTTCTTTAACATTTTTCTTATTTATTGCATTATCAAATATACTGAACTTAATTATTTTTGTGGTTACACGTGTAGTAGTGATTGTATACAATGTGTATGTGCGTGTGTGTGTGTGTGTGTGTGTGTGTGTGTATGTGTGTTTGTATGTGCATGTACTACTGAACACATTTGTTATTACCATCTTAACAGTTGTTGTTAGTATCTATTTATCATTAGTTTTATTCATCGTACAGTTGTTATGCACTTAATTATAAGGTTCATGTCTAATAATTTTTGTATTCTCATTAGCCATTCAATTTTCGAAATTAGCTATTAATAATTTTCCATCTCTGATTGGGTTTCCGGCGACGAATTTAAAGTAATAGTAATAAGATTGTGGATACCTAATTGGTAGTAGCATTAGGGTAATCTTGTTTGGTTGTTGTTTCGTTCTTCACACGTCATCTTATCAGCCAGTGATTGTTGTTCGTACGATTGTATCACAATTTTTCGTTCTTTCATTTATTATACATTCGTCATTCACTTTTAATAATGATACATTGCGTACATTTACTTATATTTGTAATTTAAATTACTTCTTACTGTACATAGAATCATAATTTTTTTCTTGTAGCATTAATTTTTTTTTCATTTAAATAGAAACTGCATTTCATCTTTTTTCGAATGATATTCTTCCCACGTTGTTCTTATATTTATTTATTTTTTTTGTATTTGTGTTTCTTCATTACTTGAACATTCACCACACACAGCAGTTTAAATTTCGAAAACTGAGTTGAACATATCTGAATAATTTTTGGTGCGTATTCACTGTGCGACATCTCAAAATTTTTAACATTCTCACATTTTAGCACGTCACTTAAGATTTTTTTTTTGTTATTTCACGTGTTGTGTTCATCTCTAAGTCATGGTGCGTCATGTGAAACTAAACTTTCGTTTAAAATTATTATGTCCTTTTTATAATTTTATGATAATTTATTAATTTGTTAAATTCTTTAATTGTATTGATTTGTTAGTTTTCGGTTGATTGTCTCTTCGCTTATCATTAGGTTAAAAATTTTGGCATGTATAACAAAATGTTTATTAAAAGTTATAAATGTACCTAGCATTTTTTTTAGAAAAAGTTTCAACTATTTAATTGAATTAAGCTAATATGTTGTCATCTACACAATATCTCTTGGAGTTTTGAAACTGCGGTTTAATTATTTTTTAAAGATCAAAATTAAATTTCTTTGTTCGAAACCTTGATGCCATGAAGTTCGTCTGTGAAAAACTGTGATTAACTCTGTCACGAGTGGTTTGATGTAAAAAGTTCTCCTTACTTCCGTTTCAAATGTCAAGAGCAACATCTTTCAAAACGAAATTCCCATTTTTCACAATTTGTAATTAGTTGTTGGGAGTGCTTATGAATCGGCTAGTGGGCTACACAAATTTTATTTAAAATTGATCGTGCAAAATCCGCTATAGCATCATCTGAAGCGTAAATGAAAGCTATTAGTTCAATTGTTGGATTGGAACAAGCAGTGGAAATAAAATAAAACTGAAGCGCACATGAGAAAATTTTCATCACCCTTAATACCGACACATTAGGCCTTCAATTATGAGCGCCGTGGTCACGTTCAAGACTTCGTTCATGAGGTGGTCACGTTCAAAATTTTGAATTCAGCTTCATTTGGTATCAGATGTACAGTTTGGATTCAGGGAATATGGTGCATTAAACTGAACTGACATTTTCTATTATTTAAAATAGTTTATCGTTAGCTTTATGGTATGGAATTTAAGTGAAGGAGTTGAATAAAGACGTGATTATAACGTCAAAACCTGAACAAAATGGATAAATTTGGGAAAAACAAACTAAATTGCATATTAACGCTCAACGATTTAACGCTTGTTAAATCTCATCTTAATTTTGTTATTGAAACGTGCCATGACCGACTGTTGGATAATCGTGTCAACGTTTAGCAGAAAATTTTAACAAAAGTGGTAGTTCACTGGAAATATTTATCTCGAAATTTCTCTCAGAAAATTTATTGTGATATTCAAATGATTTTCAGATTGAAATGCTTCGAAGTTATAAAATTTCGAGATTGAAAAATTTTGCATATTTGTTTCATTTGAATACTCGAAATTTGTTCAGTCTTCAGAGCGATTAGCATTTTTATTCCCTTTCACTTTCTCATATGATCTGAAAAATTATTTAAGAGAGGACTGCATTGCTCCGTTGCATTCAGAAAACAGAGGTACACAGTTATGTTCGTCAAATTTTTTAATCGTTCTAATTATAACTGATGTCATTTTTTCAGATAGATTTAACAAACTTATTAAACTTTCTTTAATTTTAATTAAAAGTTAAGTTATCGAAATAGAAAATGGGCAAGCTTCTTGCACTTCTATTCTTTCAAGCAATAGTGGTATCCTTTTTGCCATTTTATAATTATTTATGGACAGTTTTAATCGACAAATAGTTTTGTTTTATAAAAAAAGTTTAGCATCATTTGTTATACTTTTAATACAATTTTCTCAGATCTTGAATGCAAAGGAAAATGTGACATCAGAAATCTCGAAGCACGTTTTGCAGACTCCCAACGACATCTCCACCGATGAACACAAAAATAGCAGCAATGCAGAATCAATCCCACAAAATTTAAAAGAGAAGCGAGACGACGAAGCTGCAACAAACAACCAGACAAGATCACTAAACAATGAACATGTGAAAATGAGTGACGTGAAAGATGGGAACGGAACGAACCGTGCAATCGAAAGCCAGTCCACAGGAGCAAGCAAGGCAGAAGCTAAACAAAGCGATGTAAGTGCGAAGGACAGCGTAGAAAATTCAACTTTGTTCTTGAATAAAGAAACCAACGAGCATTCAACTGACGGAAAGAAAGCTGATGAGAGCAAGTAAGTTTGCCTGCGTCTAAATTTTTCACTGAATTATCAAAGAAAATATAAATTTTCAACTAACTACAAATTCTAACAGGGAAAAGCCAGCTGAGCAAGAAAACTCAAAGAAAAAGGACGAAAAGCACGATCCTACTGTTCACTCGGTTAATCACAGTATACATTACGTATTTCATGGTTGATTACATTTCATATTCATTAGAAAATAAATTAAACTCATGTTAGGTGTGTGAGGATAATAATTTTAAAATTCTTTTACGGCGCAACTTTGATATCATGCCAATCAACACCAAACACCAGATATCAGTGTTAGTTCAAACATCGATAAAAAGTTAATTAACATAATTTTTCAGATGACAAAATGAATCCATTACGCGCGGTGATGATTTTTTTAAAAAACGGTTCTACAGACGATGAATAACAAATAATTACAAGTTAAATGTTTCTGACTTTTATTGAACGAACCTGTTTTTTTTACGTGTTTTTTAAATAATTGTAATTTTAATTCACATAAAACGAACTTAGGTTTTATTGTTTTATTTCTCACAAGACTTTATAAAAATAAAAAAATTTAAATTTTAGACATTCAATATACATTAAACAATTGATTTTTAAATTAATTTCGATGCGGTCTTCCCGTTATTTTGTTCAATTGTAGGTACCTTACGCATCACTTTTAAATGAAGTTTTTTTTATAAAAAAAGAAATGTTTCGCAATCATTTTATTGCCGTTCAACACGCCATCTGAGACACATTATTTCAAATTTCTCTTCCTTTGAATGTTAAAGTTAAAAAACTTTAAAAAAATAATGTTAAATATGCTTATGATAGAACGTTTTCAAACGTCTGAGAGAATGTTTTTTGTTTCGAGGGCGCCTCAGTCGCTTGCCAGGTCGCTTTATAAGTCAACATTATCACTATCATTATCATTTTGCTTTTGTTTTTCCGTTGTTTGCATACGTTGAAATGTTTTTGCAATAATTTTTTTGTTCCATGGAAAAAACAATTAAGAAACCACTCCAGAGAATAATTGAAGGATTTTATGAGAGGCCGAAAAGTTAAAAAATAAAAAAAACCATATCACTACCCACCGGATGGGAACTTCACGCTTCTCTGAATGAATTGTTTGTTGAAAATTCAGTTTTTGTGCAAAACACAATTTATTTGACGACTACGACAAATTGTTTTTCTAACTTTTATTTTATTTTACTTCAATACAACTTTCCATAATTAGAAAGTTTAAAAGCTTCACAAGTTGCACGATGACCATACCTTCCATCAAATATGGACTGCTTCATTCACTGCACTCAACGCGTAAACCCCTCATATATTTCGTTCATCAAATCATTAATTTATTAACGAATTAAACGTTTGATGTAATAATAAGAAATACTAATAACAAAAACATTTCTTTTGGTATAAAGAATAAACAAATAGTTTGTTTCCTTCAAATGTTCATTTAAAAAATAATTACCAGTTTTGATCACTTTTGTATTTAACAGTTTTAGTATAAATTGAATTTATTTCACCACATTTCACCATTTACAGATTGAAATGGTTTTAAAACGTGTTACAATGGCTACATAATACTTGATGACCCGATGTGTTAAAGGCTTAAACGTATTAAACTTAACTTCAACTTGACAAATAAAACTTAAATGAATAAATAAATATAAAAAGATAAAATTTCAGAAACAAGAACAAAAGGAATTTTTTCGCGCCAAAACAAAACTCGTCGATTCATTACCATTGTTGCTTTCTTCCATACAGACTCATTTTTCAGTGTAACACTCAATGACACATTTTAAGGTTTCAAACTTTTATTAATGCATTCGGCTTTCCATTCAAATTCATGTCATTTTATACTTCCATACTTTTTCATATCACATATCTGGTTTCATTACAATAAAATATTATAGACTAAACCAAAGTTAAAATTTATAATAGTTTTATCAGAGGTAATAAAAGTTCAAAGTTAAATAGCGATATGATGATTTTCAACGATTCAGTTTAAAAACAAAAACAATCTTTTATGAAAAAATAAATATTTAATCACAAACCAAACAGGTATGAACATCACCACGCATCTAGGTTTGTCAGGAAATAAGAATTTGAAATGTTTTATGAGCAGAAAAAAAATCACAAAGAAATAATACCGACAGCAAGATAAAAACAAAAACAGTAATAAGAAAAAAATAAAATACTTACAACAACAAAAATAATAAACAAATAATAATAATAAACACATGACACAAGAATCTTTAAATTATGAGAAAATTTGTTATCGGTAGCTCTGCGGTTTATAATGCGAAAGATGTTTTCGTTATTGCTACAACGACCACACCACACGAATGAAAGGCGTGATGGCTCAATGGTTAAAGGCGCCTGGTCTTGCTATTGCTATGACTGGGTTCGAATACAAAGAGATCCCAGCCTATCATATGCAATGTGTGTGATGCGTGGTTTGCACGCGTATTCATAACGCTGTGTATGTTTGTCGTTGAAACTTCTGAAGCAAACGCAGAAGAGAGAGAAACCTTTATGAAGTAGCAGTAACGTATAGTGCATAATAATAAGAGTGGTCATGACCACACCACTATGGACTTTGTGACACTACCTTTCGAGCGTACTATATTTATATTCTTGAGTCACGAGATTGTTTGTACATTGAAACATTCATTCTGTTTATACAGACTAAGTTTTTAACGTTATAATTAGTATTTTAATAAACAATTTAACTGTTTAGAAAAAGGTTTTGTAAACATTTCATCACAAAGCTAAACAAATATTTTTTTAAACTGACAATGTTATGGTAAGGGTTTACTAAATTTCAAAGCATTAAATTCACTTTTAACTATAATCGGTCGGTTACTGCATGTCAATAAAGTTTGTTTTTCTAGTGGCTTCGTACTTTTTCAGAAAAGCGCGCGAGGTTATTTGGCAAGTTGTTTTGAAGAAAAGCGTGTGATTCTTGAGTAATAAAGACGTAAACTCGGGAAGTAGTACCAGTAGCGGATCAAAAGTGGAAATGTAGAGATATATCCTCCCAACAAACAATGAAAAACGAAAACTTTGGAGATTCTCTGTGAAATATAAACGGGAATCAGCCAAAAAATTACATAAATTTTAAAATTTGGTTTTGAAAGTCAGTTCCCATCAAAACTGGATTACGGGAATTAGCAAAAAGTGGTCATCATTTTTAGAACTTTGAAAATTATCTCAAATTAAAATCACAAAATTTTGGATAATTCGCAGGACAGAACCGACTTTGCAGTAGTTATGTGTCTTAATATTGTTATAAAATTGTTATAAAATAGTTAAATTTTTGTTACGATGTTGTTATTTATACCATAATAATTTAGTTTTAATTACGATTTGATATTTATCTTACAATACAATATTTTGCGGTAGTATTGTTGTAATTTTTTTTACGATAATTTGATGTAATAATGTTATAGTATTTTAGCTTTGTTGTAAGTTATTATAATTTTATTTTAATGTGGTTGAAACGTATCCACATTTGCGAGTGTCACAATGATACTGATAATTAAAATTAATAAATTTGTTTTATTGGAAAGATGATGGTGATAATACTACTACTACTGCTGCTGCTACAACTGCTGCTGCTAATACTACTACAACTACTACTACTACCACCACTAATAGTAATAATAATAAATAATAATAATAACAACAGAAGCAAAAATGACAATAAGTTAAAAGCAATAGTCTTTCGTAAATTTTATTTCAAGTGCAATCTGTTAAACTTTCTCAGTTATTGGATGGCTGGTGCTAATACTTAAAATTTCATTTTGCTTCATATCAGCTTCCTCACTAATGGTGCGACTGTTGCTATTGTTGTTACCGTTGTTGTTGCTGTTATTGTTTGCACCTGATGTGGTGAAATTGAAGTCTCTGGTTGTTGTGTGGCCATCATTTGGGATGCTGGCAGGAACTTGGGGATTTTTGTGCACTTGTACCAGGCTGTCTACGAGGCATGCATTTTTGTGAGTTTTCTTGTGTGGACAGTTTTTGGTGTGTTTGTTGTGTGCGTTATTATGAATATCTTCGTTTTGGTCGTTGTGTTTGTTAATGTAAATGTTTCTGTGCTTACCACTGTAGAGGACGTTGTGTTTTTCGTCGGAAGTGTCGTTGTGTACGTCAATGTCAGTATTGTTGTGTTTGCCGTCCGGTATGTTGTTTTGTAGGTTAATGCCAGTGTTGCTGAGTTTGTCATCCTGTGTGTTAATGTTGATGTTTTTATGTGTGTCGTCTTGTATGTCAATGCACACGTTGGAGTGTTTGTCGTTGGGTATGTTAATGTCAGTGTTGATCTTTGTGGTGTTATGTATGTGGTTGAGTGTGGGGTCTTGCGTATGGATTCGTGTATCGATAAGTGTGTCATTGTGTGCGTCGTTGGGTATGCTGTTGTGTGCGTCGTTGTGTGCATGGATATGTGTTTTGCAGTGTGGGCCATTACATCTTTTCAAGTGTGTTTCTTTGAGTATGTCCTTGAATATGTTTTTGTTCGTGTTGTACTGTCTGTTGTTGTTAATATGATTGTTGTTGTTTGAAACAGGATCACCGTTGAAGTTGTTAATGTTGACGCCGTTGGTGTCTTCATCATTGGCGATCATCGTGTTTTTATTTGCAGGATGTTGTTTGCAATCAATTGTCAGGTTGTTGTTTGTAGCGTGATTAGTTGCGTTTTTATTCAACATACCATTTCGACCCAAAATTGTACACTTTGTTTCTAAAGTAATGTTGTCCTCAAGATATGGACAGACCACATTTCTACCTGACCTACCTGACCTACCAACATTCTCATTGTAGCGATCGCAACCGTAGTAGTAGTTTATGTGAATATTGTTGACGTGTTTGTTTGCGTTGGTACTCGAGCTATTCAACTTATGACAGCGATCCAGATTCGTGCAACTTCTACTCGGTCTGGTGAGGGCGATATCTGGGTCTACACACACATTCCTGTTTTCAGAATTCGTGGCAGAAGTGCATTGTCTCAACGGATGGTCCACGAAATAACTAGTCAACAAAACTTTGTTCTCTCTTCGTTTCATCGGATGCTTATGTTTTGAAGAAGCTACCATGGTGATGCTTTTGTTGTTGTTGGAAATGCTGGACTGCTGCCTGCTTGCGTTTTCGTCGGCGGAATGTGCTGGGCGGGAATGGGAGTCGTGGCTGGAGGATGTCACACTCCTCTTCACTGCAAATGGTAGTTCCTGATGCAATCTATCGCTCTTTAAACGATCGGATGAAAACTTTGAAAAAAAAATTGCAAAACGTTTGTTGATGCCGCCTTGTTCAATTTTGGAAACGTGCATTCTTCTGTTGTCACTTTCATTACAGCACTTGAGAAGAGAAACACGAGATTTGTATTCGAGCTGTATGACATTTTGGTTATTTTTTTTACTGCTACTGTAGCCAGAACCAACCTTTTGAATTTGGTTACGTTCTACGCAAATTTTGACGCATTTTATTCTCCAGCAGATATTTTTTAATGTTTTTTTGCTGAAAATCATGTAAAGGAAAGGATTCAAAGCACTTTGTAGAAGTCCCAGTGTTTCGCTAAACTTTTTTGCCTCTTCAAATTTTATTTGATAATTAGAGTAAACTCTAACTAGCAAAATAAAAAAATATGGTGTCCAACATACCACGAAACAAATTATGACCGATAGCGTCATTTTGACGACGTTGCGTTTCGAGGCCATGGCCTGATATCGAAGTGTCGACATCGTCCTGTCGTTGTGGCGTAGTGTCGTAACTGCAAGCATGGCTGATGTATGCTGCTGCTGTTGTTGTCGATAGAAAGATTGAGTGTTATTTTTATTGCCGTTGTTTTGAATGTTGTAGGAATTTTGTTGCATCGTCTGATATTGCGAATGCATTTTACCGTTAGCATCCATTTTTTCAATTTTTGATTGCAAAATATCATCGCCACCTGTTTTTAAGAAAAATTTTCAATTGAGAAACATAGCTGTCATTGTTGATATTATAACTACCGGTGGAAAAAAAAAGACTACCATCAATTTGTAGCGATGGTGGCGGCGGGAGGGGCGATGGATTGTAACAGCCACCGCTGTCCGACGTGTTGGCAGACCTGCGTGAGGTGACGAAATGAATCTTTGGTACATTCAGCTGGTTCCCGTCAGAAGTTCTCAACCAGACGACTTTGATGATGCTGATGTAGCAGAAGGACATGACGATTGTGGGGATGATGAGGATGTACGAGGTGAGGAACGTCACGTACAACTTCCTCTGCCATTCCTCCGTGTATCCTGAACTAGAACAAGAAGGAATACTTTTCGTGGATTTCACGTCGTAGATCAATGTCTGAAATGCAATTCAGTTGTTTCCTTTATTTCAATTTATTTTTGTTCAATTTGTAAATAAGTGTTTATTTGCATATCAAAATCCAAAGTTTGAAAGTTTTTTTGAAATCTTTTTTATTGGACTTTTATTTATGATAGGACTGCTAATTTTTTAAATTTTGCATTTGATTTTTAAGTAAATTTAAAAAAATTCCGACTTCTCTGAAAATAAATATCTGAGGAAGAGCGAATAGAAGAGCGAGAGACCACGCAGCACAAATCTTCCTCCATATCGTCTTTGAGTTTCCTAATGATTGGAACGGTTGTACCAAGACCTGCATTGCAATGATATAAAAAAATCATTTACTAACTCAAAGTATTAAATTTTTTGATGAAATATTTAAATTTTCAAAAATATAGAACTGTTGTGAGCTTCATAACGCCAATTGTGAGTGTTTAAAAAATAAAATAGAGAATTTTTTCTCTCGAACCAAAGGAGTGAAACAGAATGAGTCACAGCAGACAAGTTTTGTTGAAATAATTTGTTTATTTTTTTAAAATATCAAACCATAAAATAATTATATTCCATATGGTGCAAATTCCAATCAACTCTTTTCACAGCATACACGCTCATCATAGAAGAGTTGTTGTTGGTAAAATCTTGTGTCTTTCTGTCAACCACCAACAAAACAGTGCCACAATAAACAATGGATATATAATAAAAATATACGTGATAAAAATTTTTTGCCTCAGTGCTTTGTTACCGTTATTGAATAAATAATTGTTAATGTAAGCACAATAATAATAATGTGAAATTTGTTGAGTGCAAAATGAGAGCAAAACACAATTTTAGTTATTGCCTCTTCCAAGATCTAACCAAACTAAACTTCATCTTTGGCGAAGATTTTTCAATTATAATTATAAAATAGTCGAAAAAAAACATCAAATAAATAAATTGAAAATAATAAAGTGAAATTTAAGTTATAATTATTTTTCAAGTTAGTCCCAGTTAGATGATCAATTATGATGTAAGTGAAAATTTGTTTGAAACATGAGAAACATTTGAAACCATTCGATGAAATAATTAATTGAACAAAAAAATCATACAGACTTAAACGATAATTTTTCAAGTAAAATCATTTATTTTCTAAAAAAATGTTACTTTATTTAACATTTTTTTAGAAGTGTCATCTACTATGTGTAACTGCAAGTAAAGAAAATTAATAATGTAATAAGATTCATCTTGCAAGCATTTTAGAGATTTCTTCGCTTAAAAATTGGAACGATCATTTTTAAACTTGAAGTTAATTTGCATATAGTTACGTCTTTTCTTCAATTTTTTGTACAAAGATTTTTTTGGCTGGCTAGTTAAAAGTAAATTAGATTGGTTGCAATAATAAGATGTTAAATATTCGTGTGGATATTGCCTCTTCTTCTGCATATTTTAACTCTAATCATCGTAAAGAAGATTTAGCGCTGAGCGTCAGGGCTCCTTAAACGTTCATATAGCAAGATCAAAATTAAAACCTTCTGTTTTTGCACCAACGAACCAAGCAGTAGATCTTCACTATATGCATGATGTCTCTCGAGTCTCCAGATGTCACATCAACAAAATAGCAACTAACAAATTTTTATTAGCACTATATTTCTTATTCTAAATATTCTCAATTACATTCAACTTTTTTTAAATATCCATGAATTTTTAAATAAATACTTTTTTCATTTATTTGAAATTTATACGAGTGTATATGTAATATAAACAAACAAACAGACAAACAAACAAACAAACAAACCAACAAACAAACCAACAAACAAACCAACAAACAAACAAATAAATATATATAAATAAATAAATAAACAAGCATGTAAAGTTTAAACATCTGAAACTTTTTAACATCCAAGCGCATATTGCTTCGTAATCACATTTTCTCTACACAATAGTGCCTGCTACAGTTGCACTCGGCCTCACACGAGCTGATTGATGATGGTTCACTGTGCACTCTGCTTCTTGGTTTTCGTAACTTGGGCTGGGTTTGTTCTACTTGAAACCGACGTTATTATTTAAGCGAGTAGGTATGTGTTGTATGTATATTCTACTTCTAAACTTATAAGAGAATGGTGATATCGTGATTTCGAATGATGATAGGCTAACGGCAGTGGAAAAGCGTAACTCAACAACTCATTGTTTGGAAAGACAAGTTTTATACAGTTGATACAAATTAATTTTTTATGCAAGAAATGCTTGCAAAATATAACAACGCCTGTTTTTCAATTAATTCTCCTTAGGCGACTAAAATTTTGTCTTTGGTGACAACGTGAAATCTGTCTTATTGTTTTAATTTTAATAGAACAATTAAATATTTAAGATGAAGTTTTAAGAAGATTTATTAAATTTTCTGTCATCCACAACATGTTCAAGTTACTGTGCTGGTTGAAACATTAAGCATTGTTTCCTGATCAATAAACTGACCGCACAGCAGCCATAAATAAGATCCCTGACAATGACGATGAATATCGACCAGTGACCGGTGCTAAATAATAATACCTTAATGTTTAAATGACATCGCTTGCTATTGAGAGTTACTTGTTATTATTATCATTATTTATTATTATCATCACTTTTTATCATTATTACTTATTTTCTGTCGTCGTTAGTTAAAAATACGCAGTGGAACAAATCAAGACTCAAAATAACGTTGAGCCACATCACCATTTTAAAATGTAGCTGAAAACCATAAAAAACAAAAACAAAAATATTTATAAGTTTTCATAAATATAATTTTAGTTTTTAAAACTCATTACCGTCAAAATTTTTTTTTCATCTCTTACAAAGCTGATTTTCATTCATTCACTATATTTAGTTTCAGTCCTATGAAGAAGGCTTAAAACTTTGAAAATTATCGTAAAGTCAGAACAAACGAAACCAATTCGCTTTCGTTTTCATGTCATATGCAAATATTATGTCACATAAATGTATCTAATATATACAATTTACATCAAACATGATTTTAAATTTCACATAATATTTTTTGAGTTTTGACTACTCAATTTCGAATTTATTTGTATTTACACGACATAATTAAACAATAAAATATTTATGGCATAAAATTTTTTTGACACAATGTAAAAACTTCCTTAAAGAAGCAAGGCATTTTGAAAGAACATTACAAAATTGTTATTAATAGAGTTACATATGTACATGTATTAGAGAGAGTTCATAATTCCATATTTATTTAAATAAAGAAGTATAGCTAATATTTTAAAATTCTTAATAATGGTGTTCATATCAGCATGATAATAACGATCATTTTACGACACAAAAGTTTAAAATTCCATTATATAATAATTTCACATTACAATTTTTTTTGTTTGTTGTAAATGTTTAAAAATGTTCACTCACACCCGTAGAGTTAATGTTCAATTTTTTTTTTATCACGGATCCTTCATGATCGCATTTCATTAAGAAAAGTTTGTAGAAAGAAAAATAAATATATATAATTTTTTAAAATAACGAGAATAAATATAAAAATTCAAGCAAATAAATTTTGTTGTGAAATGTGACAATTTAATAATTGAAAGAGCTGTTAATAACTGTTGATACATTTTGTTTAACAAAGAAACAAACCAGCAATGAATCAAAACGCTAAATTTTGATTTAATAAAAGCAAGTAATACAGATTTGTGGTGCATGGTCTGTGATTGTTTTTATTAAACGTGCGTGAAAGTTTGGTGACCTATGTTGCAATTTTGACGAAAAGCTCTTGTCGTCATTAATTAAACGTTACGAAGTGGAATTTAGTTGACTTTATGGGGTTAATGAGGTTTATGAATAATGATTGAGTGCCATGAATTATGCTTGGCGGCGGTCACGTGGGATGAAACCAAAAAATTTAATAAAAAGTAACGTAGAGAGAAAAATTGTGGAGAGTAAAATTATGAAAATTCTTGTGGAGAAGTGTAGATGGTGTTACTTGCTTGGTTGGCGTGCTTTCTAGTGCATCCTGCTTCACTATAGATCATGCGCATGAATGAACGGCTGACTCGTGAATGATGATGCTGGCTGGCATTAATAAATAAGGACAAACATCCATCCATATGATGGATGGATGGAAAAATGGATGGATGGATGGATGGATGGATGGAATGTTAGACAGATGAATGAATGAATGAATGGATGGATGGATGGATAGATGGATGGATGGATGGATGGATGGATGTATAGATGGTTAGATAGATGGATGGTTGGATGATTAGATTAATGGACGAATGGATGGATGGATGGAAGGTAAATGTACAAACTAAATTCAGGACAACTCTCATTTTTTACTGCAAAGAAAAAATTCTTATAAATAATTCTTCATAGAGGTTGAACAATTGCACAACTTTTCTCATATGCGCATATTAATGGTACATTCAATCAGAAAATACGAAATAATCCGATATATACAAGTATTATACAATTAGTGAATGAATCAATAGATAAATGAATCAATGAGCATATGAATGAGTATCGATCTAAAAAGAAGTACACATATAAATTACTTCATAAATATATACTTTTATTATTGAAAACAATACTACCATTTACAGTAACCAACATAGTTTCAATTGAAAACGAATTTTACGATATTCACGTTTTGATAGAATAGGTTGACCTTTCAAAAGAAATGCTCCATAATTTGTGCTAACGAATCATGAAATTTATATTAAATGCCTGAAAAATGCGTCTAGAAAAAAATTTGATTTTTGAAACATGCAATTTATAAACATGGACAAGAAATACATCTGGTAGTACACTCATTCGGCACATGCCATGCCGTTGCCAAAATTTTTTCGGTTACAGCCAAGATTCGGAACCTACTCCCGGCTGACTGATTTGAAAGTAGCCAACGCCATCACATTTCAGTTGTAATGTTTTCCAGATGGGTATAAAACATTAGTTGAGTTCAACAAGCCAAGCCTAACTGTTTCTTAAGAAGTTAACTCAGGAAACGCTAAACAAATTCACAATATAGCACACACACACACACGCACGCATACACATACACGTACGCATGCACATACCCACAAACACACACACACACACACACATACACACACACACACACGTACGGACAGATAATATAAATTGAAAAATTTTAGATTTATTTCACGAATTTCATGTTTGCTTCTTGATTTTTTAAAAGGCTACTTGACTTAGTTTGAAATAGATAAAAAAGAATTTGAATTATTAAATTCATCAAAATAATTTTGTCCAATAAAACCTTTAAAAAAATTTTTCCTGACTGGAGCACGTAATTATGTGAATTATGTAATTAATTTTTATTCCACTTGC